TAATACAGAAGCGCCACAGGTGGATACTTGCTATCACTAAAATTCAACAGTTGAAATTTTTCAGCGTCAGCTTGCCTACCCTTCTAACGCGCACGTGTGAATGCATGCTTACAGGCATCACCTCGCTGTATATCACTGATCTACGAAACCCAACAGTAGTGCATCCTAAGCCAATGCACATTCTAACCGACACACGAAAGTATAAATTTTCGAAAGGCAATTCACCACACATACAATGTACATAGCAGGCAATGCAGGAAGATATCTAAAATAGACGCGCACACGTAAAACTCCACTTAGGCAAAGTCAAGGAAAAGAGAAAGACAAAGCATCTGGCTTATGGCGCTTTCAAATACTTGTTTCGCAGATTCACAAATCATAGATGCCTACATGGAGTGAATCATCGGATGTGAACATGCTGGATTTGAATTAAAAGAACATTCACAGTGGGCTGATCTTCCAAGTCGTATGATTTAGAAAGACTTCCAGAACGTCACAGCTTGGAGTGTTTCAATCCCCTACACCAAATTAACTGCTTCGAAAGCCAACCACGGCAAAGGAAATACGCAAGTGAGCACAGCGAAGGCATTTAAGGAGCATAACTATACTTAGGGGTCATCAAAGAATACAAGAGAGCTCATAGACGGACGGAGCAGCACAGCGGCCCTAAAGTAACAGTCCGAGAGGAAGGTGGACCTATATGTCATACCATATGTCGCGCCCCTCTGTTTGCCTTTAGCTTATTCCGCGTGTTCAACACAGTAATGTTTTGCCCCTTCTGCTTGTTTTTAGGCGATATTGTTTCTCCTGGTGCTGAGTTAGCGTCCCATGTTCGTGCCAATGCTGCTGATGTTTCTTCTTCTTTTGCCGGCGCTGCATTTGGCCAGTCCAGCAAATGGCTATAAAGACCTTTGAGTTCCTTTTGCCTGAAGTCCTAAGATTATTTGCCATTTCTTTCCGAAACCCTCAACTAAGAACTGCACTTTCTTCTCTGGTAACTGAAGGCACATACAGAGCAGAGATTGAACGAACAGAGCTCTTGAACATCGGTCCACTTCTGAAAGGGCCCCGCTCTCCATATCAGAGCTACCGAAGATGGCCTTTATTGGACGGTTTAAGAAGCGCTTATTTCTCTGATACACGTGAAGGGCAATTGTATCCGAGGTTCCCCTCAAGGGTCCCCCCGGAGGGAAGCTTAGCAAGTCTCCTGTTCGTGCCTCAAACAAAGCTCCTGATGGAACGCTGGGTTCCCTAGCGTTGCTTGTCCCAGTGGCTAATACCTCTTTTAGAGATCCTTCCTGAGTTCTCTGGTCTGCAGAAAATGCTTTCTGTAGGATCACTCGCTGAAGCCTTTGAAAAGAGTTTTGCAGAATCCTTCCGTTGCGCCCTCGGTGAAGTCTTCAAACGACTGTTCAAACAAAACCAGACACTCAGATATGTCCCTGCAGTCTCCTCGCAAGATATTTTTCGAGGGTAGATCAAGGGAGCCAAACCTGGTATTTGGGACGTATATGTGTCTAAGTAACGTCACGGGGCACGAGCAAGCATATACAAAAATACTTGGTTTAAGAAGATACCCTGGAGAACAAGAAGACGAATACAGGAAATCCCTTTGCTTATTTTGTGACAACCTAGGCATCCATGAAGACAGTAGACGATGATTTAAGTCCCAAGTAGCGATCAGTGAAAGCCTATCAGTGTCATCGTCCCTCTGTCGCTCGACTTTTAGAACACCAGCTATTCATGTTGTACCAACGGGACAAGGAAAATAGAAGCACAATTAAATCCATACATGGGAAAACTGACGCGGCACGAATAATGTCAAAAGAATAATTCATGAGAGATGCATGTGACAGTGGAAGAAACCTTTGGAGAGGCCTCGTGTTCGAAGCTGAATTGCACTCAAAGGGAAGAAGCGGAAGGCCTAAATACAGTTCACATTGCACCAACCGCAGTCCCTATGAACATAAAAGCAATAGATGCGCACACAAAGGCAAGGCCCAGCTACCAAAGACAAGAACAAGATTTAGGACAGCCTGGGTTGACAATGGGAACGCTTGGAAAAACGTGGTGCAAAGTAAGGAGCTGATGGAGGAAAGTGCTCATCACATTGTTTTTGGAAATCCTGGTCTAATAATGGTTCGGACATTAGGCTCGCCCTGTTTACTAGGGATCACTTTACCCGGAAAAGTTTAGCCTCAGCTTGAAAGAAGACATTCTTAGAAAGCGAAATGTCCGGCCTAATCGAATACATCCCTTGGGAACCCACTACAGTGAAACCAATAAACCAAGTCCGCACAACACATAGTTTGTTAGATGTATTGGTAAATGTGAGCATTTGTAGGTGTCGTGCTGTCCTTTGCGTAGTAAAGCCTGACTTGCACGAACTCATGAACTCTGGCTAGTATCCTTTAAATTCCTCCAGAAGCCAGAGAATGCCTCGGGGCCGCTGAGTGTGGGGGCTGTAGCTGCCATTGCCAATGCTCAGCAGCTGATACGTTTCGAACGTGCGCTACAGGGTGCTAAAGCAGCTGTGACGATGGCTTCTAGGCAATTAAACACCAAATTGATCTGCCATAGCTAATCAGACAGCCCACTCAGCACAAGCTAGTTAAAATCTTCCTACGCTACTTTTGTCACAGTACCACGAGCCGCGCATTTGAAGAAAGCAGAGAACAATGCGTTTCACTGGCGGTTTTTCGAAAGCACGTTGGATGATTAAGCAGTACTACGCTCAGTTGGGGAGCAGATGCAAATCGCGTCCAAAGTTACAAAGAAGGATGTGTTAGCTGGAGCATCACTGGTTTCGCAAGCTAGGCCATTTATCTTAATGGAAATGCTGTTCTGCTTCAGGCGGTGACCTTATTGTCGTTCAATCCCTTATTTACATGATAATGCTCTCCATTCAAGGCGTTGCATTACCTTTGAAGATTTATTGTTTGGCCAGTTGTGTCTTGAGAAGGCTGTGCTGCACCTCTATCTGTTCTCTATCAGCGGGTCGCTGCTGATGGCAACGAAAGCCAGCAGACCGATTCAAGCGGAGAGATCTCAGCGGCCTGCTGGTGGCATGGAAAATATTACTTTCACTACCTTCAGGGACCACCAGAGTGATGCATGTGGATAGACGGAACAAATGCGTTTCGATCCTGGGAAGAGCTCCACTACTAGAAAAAGGAAACTCTCTTCCAGGACATTGCTAAAATGTAGGGTTTAGAATTTTCAGGAAACTGCTAAGGCCGTAGGGATTCCTTTTTCCCATGGCTTGGCAAGCAGAGATGACGCGTCCATAGATACAGGCGCTATTTGCAGCTTGCTTCACTCCGTGCAACAAATAAATGAGAACTTACAGTTACGATAGATCAGTAGGGGTCATTAGGGTTCAGTACACGTACAAGCAAAATGCAGTAGGCAAGGGGAAGAATTAAATGCAAACAGTGGTAAGAAGGCTGAGAGCAAGCCCAATCTCTTTTTCGGCCTCAGCAGAATCTGCTGCGACCGCGACTACGCATGGCAGGGGCTTGAACTGCTGTGGTTGTCACTGGTCAGCGTCTAGCTTTGTTTTTGTCCTACAAGTCGAACGTAACCCCAAGCATTTATTCAAAGTTTGTACCTGAACATGTCTAGCCTCGTTCATCTGTTTGATTCACCTGTTTGATGATTGTGCGTGCTTTTCCGCTAATGCGTTGAAAAGTGAAGCACGATAATTGCCAAACTGTTACTGCATTGCCCACACAGCATTTCGTCCCCAGATGCTTCTCCAAATGAGTAGACGCTAAGTAGAGCCAATCTATTTTGCAGCAATCTTCATATACAGCACGCAACTTTGAAGGTGTGCTCTACGCCAATTGTTTTTCGAATATATGGACGGTACTATGCTGGATAACCAATTTTCTGCCCAGCGAAAATGCCACTTTTGTATAAGGCCTACAATTGCAAGCGTTAGAGCAAAAATATTTTGTCGTTTAGTACCACGAATCTGAAAAAATAGCAGGACTAAATATAATTTAGTATACCGACTCGGTGAGCAGCGGCAAGCTCTTTAAATGCTGTCATGAGTCCCAGAACTTATAAAATGACATATGGATGCACCAGGAACAAACGTGTTTTTGATGTATCACGAAATACTACATACGGCTGGCATAGATCGACTGTTTAGAAGGGACGTGCGTGCGAACACGATTTGACAGTACAATTTCGCTGAATTTAAATATGCTCATATGCGTTCAAATTAATGCCTATATTACATTACAGATGTTTGTAACACAACGTCTTGTACCCCGCCTATTTAAATACACATACTTGACACGCGCACAATGCTGTTCAGACCACCGGAGTCTGCAGCCTTCTTCACAGATGTTTATCAGGCGCAACATCAAAGGGTTCATTAAGAAAAAACTAGTTCTTGTGCTTCTTCACGTAGCTTCTGCAGCTTGTCGATCTGCGCACATCAGCATTTTTGCATCTGTATAATGAAACCAAGGATGCAAATAAAAGAAACAGAAGTGTGCAGGGGCAGACAAGATGGGGGAGGAGTAGAACTGCAAGGGAAAGGAAGTAAATCAATGCATTTCGAGTACTTTCTCCCTTCGTGTGTCTGCCGTTGCATGGTCGCAGTTCGCGCCTTCCCAAAGGCTACAGCGGTTTCCCCTTATGCTGTGAATTCCATGCGAGCTGCTTCTAATGCTGCTACGCCTTCTACTGCTGGCCCGGTGCTTCTGCTTTTGCTCTCCACCGCTTTAGCGTATAACCGCAAGACGCGTGTGTCCTCCTATGTCTCCAAGATCCTTCAAGTGGCTCATCACTTCCCTTCGCTGCACTACACTGCACCTTGGCGGCTTCTCAACAGTCTTTTCAGCCTCATCTAGAGCGGCGACGAGGATTCTACGGGCTCTTTCGTGGGGCGTTCGTAGGATCTCCTCTGTGCCCTTCTTCCTCTACAAGCCCTGGATACGCCATTGTAGAAGACTCCAAAGAAGGCTCTCTATGGAACTTTCTCAGCGTCACTTGAGAACTTTCTGTCGTCTCAATTTCTGTATTGTCACCCCTGTAAGGTCTCCAAGGAGCATCTCTAGATTCTCTTCGATTTCCTTCTTCATGTGTATCTGAAGGTTCTCTGCGGGACATTTCAGAAGGGCTAGAGGAAGCTCCTGTAGCGGTCTCTCTAGGCGCTTCTTCAGAATATTCTGTAGGATCCGTTCCTGTACGGCCACCTCTCCAAGGTATCCAAGAAGCATCTCTAGATTCTCTTCTACTCCCTTCTCCATGTGTATCTGAAGGTTCTCTGTGGGCCCACCTGAAAGCACTCGAGGAAGCTTCTGTAGCGGATTCTTCAGGCGGTCCTTCAGAATATTCTGTACGCTCAGTTTCTGTATGGTCACCTCTCTGAGGTATCCAAGAACCATCTCTTGATTCTCTTTTAATTCCTTCTCCATTTGTATCTGAAGGTTCTCTGCGGGTCATTTGAGAAGGGCTTGAGGAAGCTCCTGCAGCGGTCTCTCCAGGCGCTCCTTCAGAATATTCTGTAGGATCAGTTCCTGTACGGTCACCTCTCTGAGGACTCCAAGAGGTATCTCTAGATGCACTTTTACTCGCCTCTACATATGTATCTGAAGGTTCTCTGCGGGCCACTTTGAAAGGCCTCGGGTGAGGTCCTGAAGCTGATTCTCCAGACGCACCTTCAGAATACTCTATAGGATGGGATCCTGGACGGTCACCTCTCCAAGGTCTCCAATAAGCATCTCTAGATTCTCTTCTTCTTCGTTCTCCATGTGTACTTGAATGTTCTCTGTGGGCCCGTCTAAAAGCACTCGAGGAAGCCCCTGTAGCGGAATCTCCAGGCGGTCCTTCAGAATATTCTGTACGCTCAGTTTCTGTATGGTCACCTCTCCGAGGTCTCCAAGAACCATCTCTTGATTCTCTTCTAATTCCTTCTCCATGTGTAACTGGAGGTTCTCTGCGGGCCATTTCAGAAGGGCTCGAGTGAGCTCCTGCCGCGGTCTCTCCAGGCGCTCCATCAGAATATTCTGTGGGATCAGTTCCTGTACGGTCACCTCTCCGAGGTAACCAAGAAGCATCTCCAGATTCTCTTCTACTGACCTCTCCATATCTATCTGGATGTTCCCTGGGGGCCAGTTTAGAAGGGCTCGAGGAAGCTTCTGAAGCTGTTTGTCTAGTCGCTCCTTCAGAATATTCTGTAGGATCCGTTCCTGTACGGTCACTTCTCCGAGGTATCCAAGAAGCATACCTAGATTCTCTTCTACTTCCTTCGCCATATGTATCTGAAGGTTCTCTGCTGGCCCATCTAAAAGGCCTCGAGTGAGCTCCTGCAGCGGAATCTCCAGGCGCTTCTTCAGAATATTCTGTGGGATCAGTTCCTGTACGGTCACCTCTCTGAGGACTCCAAGAGGTATCTCTAGATGCACTTTTACTCGCCTCTACATATGTATCTGAAGGTTCTCTGCGGGCCACTTTGAAAGGCCTCGGGTGAGGTCCTGAAGCTGATTCTCCAGACGCACCTTCAGAATACTCTATAGGATGGGATCCTGGACGGTCACCTCTCCAAGGTCTCCAATAAGCATCTCTAGATTCTCTTCTTCTTCGTTCTCCATGTGTACTTGAATGTTCTCTGTGGGCCCGTCTAAAAGCACTCGAGGAAGCCCCTGTAGCGGAATCTCCAGGCGGTCCTTCAGAATATTCTGTACGCTCAGTTTCTGTATGGTCACCTCTCCGAGGTCTCCAAGAACCATCTCTTGATTCTCTTCTAATTCCTTCTCCATGTGTAACTGGAGGTTCTCTGCGGGCCATTTCAGAAGGGCTCGAGTGAGCTCCTGCCGCGGTCTCTCCAGGCGCTCCATCAGAATATTCTGTGGGATCAGTTCCTGTACGGTCACCTCTCCGAGGTAACCAAGAAGCATCTCCAGATTCTCTTCTACTGACCTCTCCATATCTATCTGGATGTTCCCTGGGGGCCAGTTTAGAAGGGCTCGAGGAAGCTTCTGAAGCTGTTTGTCTAGTCGCTCCTTCAGAATATTCTGTAGGATCCGTTCCTGTACGGTCACTTCTCCGAGGTATCCAAGAAGCATACCTAGATTCTCTTCTACTTCCTTCGCCATATGTATCTGAAGGTTCTCTGCTGGCCCATCTAAAAGGCCTCGAGTGAGCTCCTGCAGCGGAATCTCCAGGCGCTTCTTCAGAATATTCTGTGGGATCAGTTCCTGTACGGTCACCTCTCCAAGGCATCCAAGGAGCATCTCCAGATTCTCTTCTACTCGCTTCTTCATATCTATCTGAATGTTCTCTGCGGGCCATTTTAGAAGGGTTCGAGGAAGCTTCTGAAGCTGATTGTCGAGGCGCTCCTTCAGAATATTCTGTAGGCTCAGTTTCTGTACGGTCACCTCTCCGAGGTATCCAAGAAGCATCTCTAGATTCTCTTCTACTTCCTTCTCCATCTGTATCTGAAGGTTCTCTGCTGGCCCATCTAGAAGGCTTCGAGTGAGCTCCTGTAGCGGAAACCTCAGGCGGTCCTTCAGAATATTCTGTACGCTCAGTTTCTGTATGATCACCTCTCCGAGGTCTCCAAGAAGCATCTCCAGATTCTCTTCTACTCGCTTCTACATGTGTATCTGAAGGTTCTCTGCGGGCCATTTTAGAAGGGGTCGAGGAACCTCGTGTAGCGGTCTCTCGAGGTGCTCCTTCAGAATATTCTGTAGGCTCAGTTCCTCTACGGTCATTTATCCGAGGCCCCCAAGAGGCATCTCTAGATTCTCTTCCACTCGCTTCTTCATATGTATCTGAAGGTTCTCTGCAGGCCATTTTAGAAGGCTTTGAGGATGCTCTTGCAGCGGACTCTCCAGGCGCTCGTTCAGAATAATCTGCAGGCTCTGTTCCTGTATGATCACCTCTCCGAGGTCTCCAAGAAGCATCTCCAGATTCCCTTCTACTCGCTTCTACATGTGTATCTGAAGGTTCTCTGCGGGCTTTTTTCAAAGGCCTCGAGTGAGCTCCTGTAGAGGACTCTCGGGGCGCTCCTTCAGAATAATCTGTAGGCTCAGTTCCTCTACGGTCATCTCTCCGAGGCCTCCAAGAGGCATCTCTAGATTCTCTTCTACTCGCTTCTTCATATGTATCTGAAGGTTCTCTGCGGGCCACTTTAGAAGGCTTTGAGGATGCTCTTGGAGCGGACTCTCCAGGCGCTCGTTCAGAATAATGTGTAGACTCTGTTCCTGCATGATCACCTCTCCGAGGTATCCAAGGAACATCTCCAGATGCTCTTCTACTCGCTTCTCCATGTGTATCTGAAGGTCCTCTGCGGGCTTTTTTCAAAGGCCTTGAGTGAGCTCCTGTAGAGGACTCTCGGGGCGCTCCATCAGAATATTCTGTAGGCTCAATTCCTCTACGGTCATCTCGCCGAGGCCTCCAGAAGGCATCTCTAGATTCTCTTCTACTCGCTTCTTCATATGTATCTGAAGGTTCGCTGTGGACCCATCTAAAAGGCCTTGAGTGGGCTCGTGTAGCGGACTCTCCATGCGCTCGTTCAGAATAACCTGTAAGCTCTGTTCCTCTACGGTCATCTCTCCGAGGTCTCCAGGAGAAATCTCTAGATTCTCTTCTACTCGCTTCTTCATATGTATCTGAAGGTTCGCTGTGGACCCATCTAAAAGGCCTTGAGTGGGCTCGTGTAGCGGACTCTCCATGCGCTCCATCAGAATATTCTGTAGGCTCAGTTCCTCTACAGTCATCTCTCCGAGGTCTCCAGGAGAAATCTCTAGATTCTCTTCTACTCGCTTCTTCATATGTATCTGAAGGTTCGCTGTGGACCCATCTAAAAGGCCTTGAGTGGGCTCGTGTAGCGGACTCTCCAGGCGCTCCATCAGAATATTCTGTAGGCACAGTTCCTCTACGGTCATCTCTCCGAGGCCTCCAAGAGGCATCTCTAGATTCTCTTCTACTTGCTTCTTCATATGCATCTGAAAGTTCTCTGTGAGCCCTTTTCAACGGCCTCGAGTGGGCTCGTGTAGCGGACTCTCCATGCGCTGCTTCAGAATATTCTGTAGGCTCAGTTCCTCTACGGCCATCTGTCCGAGGTCTCCAGGAGACATCTCTAGATTCTCTTCTACTCGCTTCTTCATATGTATCTGAAGGTTCGCTGTGGACCCATCTAAAAGGCCTTGAGTGGGCTCGTGTAGCGGACTCTCCATGTGCTCCATCAGAATATTCTGTAGGCTCAGTTCCTCTACGGTCGCCTCCCCAATATCTCCAAGAGGAATATCTAGATGCTCTTCTACTTCCTTCTCCATATGTGTCTGAGGGTTCGCTGCGGACCCATCTGAAGGGCCTCGAGTGAGCTCCTGTAGCGGACTCTCGAGGCGCTCCTTCAAAATATTCTGTAGGCTCAGCTTCTGTATGGTCACCTCTCCGAGGTCTCCAAGAGGCATCTCTAGATGGTCTTCTACTTGCTTCTTCATATGTATCCGAAGGTGCTCTGCGGACCCATATAAAAGCCTTCGAGTGAGCTCCTGTAGCGGACTCTCCATGTGCTCCTTTAGAACGTTGTGTAGGCTCAGCTCCTGTATGGTCACCTCCCTGGGGTCTCCAAGAGGCATTTCTACTCGCTTCTGCATGTATATCTGAAGGGTCTGTGTGGTCCCTACTAAGACGCCTCCATGGACCTCCAGAAAGATATTTTCCATGCGCACTTCCATAACTTTCTTGTCCTCTTGCTACGCTGGGATTCGCAGTTTTTGCACTGGCGCGGGGGCTGTCTGTATACGAAAGCGAGAGGCTCCTCTCAGTGGCCCTAGCATGAGATCCTAGAGCACTCCCATGTGGTCTTCGAGGCATCATGGTTTCGGGAGGCGCGTCAGCCATGAAGCTTCCTGAACGAAGCGCCGGTGCAGACCCTGCGTATGCACCTGATGAAAGCAATAAGAGCTGATGCACGGCAGTGTATATTTGATCCAAGAATTGCTGTCCCGCGTAAAGTTCAGGGTTATGCGCATTCTCAAGTGAAAAGGCAGATCCAGCATCAGTGCTGCTCGACTGAGGGGGCGCCAAACTCTCGAGAGATGAAACAGTGCTTGGAAACGAAGTTGGGGTCCCTTCCTGAGAAAACAAGTCAGTATGCATTGATTGCGGTTCGGAAGTTTCGCTTGGCCATGCTTCATGGATCTCTCTTTCTTCGGCTGCGTCTTCAGCTCCATAGGGATGCTGGCTTTGTGAAGTCCTCTCGTGAGAGTCAGCGGTAGAACCATCGGAATCTGAAGGACTTGTACTTCCCCGTCCAGCTAGCGCGTCTTCCTGCTTCTGAGCTAATGTTTGGCGGCTGTCCCCAGAAATGTCGTAAAGGTCCTGCAGTTGAACTGACAAAGGCACAGTAACAGAGGTTGACTGGGCAAGGGCAAGACGCTCGTCCTGAGAAAGGGCCGGGTAAAACAAGCGCCTCCCAAAGCGGTTAATAAGACGTCCAAAGGCGGGATGATCCCTTATAGTAGTTACTCTTGCTCTTCTGAGTCGCCCCAGGAATCTCAGAAGGGCTTCACTCACTTTACGGGGTACAATGTCGCCGCGGTCGGCGCTAGCTGGCCTAGTCCTGCCTTTGTCGTTGCCTAATGCTTGCGCACTCAAATTTTGCATTGACCATGGGATCAGCACATCAACTGCCTGTTTAGACTGACTTATTGCTTCTCTTGCGATGGTAATGGAAGTAAACAACAAATCACTTCGAACTTTTTGTCTAACGTCAATCTTTGGCCGGCGTCGGCGAATACTAGCCAAGAACTTCCCTAATCGGCGAATCTTCCTTACGGTGTTGCCATGTGTGCCAGTGCGAGACACCCCAGATATTGCGAGTCGTGACTCACGCGCAATTGCATCCACTGTTGCGCTCCAACCGCCATCCAAAACTTCGGGAAGAACGTAACCAACAGAAGCCAGTTCTACAGCAGTAAGGCCCACAATCAGAGAAATACCTCTTAGATAGTCTCCCCCGCCAAGTAAAGGAAGGAGCCTTGAGCCAGCATCACATAGTTCAAGGGCTTCTCGAAATAGTGACCTTGCTCTCCGCCTAACTTGATGTTCAGATAGCACTTCCCCCTGATTTTCTGTATTTTTTGCTTCCTGCTCGTCTCTCAAATTAACACAAGCTGTGATCCGTGTGCTGGGTCCTTCACCCTCGTCGAAGCCAGGGTCAGAAATGGCACGTGGGTTATGTCCTTGAGACAAATGTAGCCGTCTCTCTTGTGAGCAGCGAAGCACTAAAAACACAACTGCTGCGGTCCCAATCACTGCTGCTACCAATGCACTAACTTTTAAAAAGACGGGGAGTGCCGAAGAACGCCTAGGGCTCACCAGACTATTCGACATGGCCAATGAATCCCTGCAATTCAAAGCTGGTGGGGTGCCCCTCGTGATGCTAGTCGTGCAGCCGTCCTCGTTATCTATACTGGTAGAACTGCTCGAGTGCTTCCACTTAACCTCGTTGCCCTCTGTCGGAAGACTTGGCGGTAGGGCAGCCGCCGTAGCAGTAGTTACGGGGGCAACATCGCAGAGCGGGGTTGTCTCATGCACTGCCGCAGCACTTTTCGGGGATGCAGTGCATAGAGTTAACAAACAGAGCAGGCAGAAGCCTCTTAACAAGTAGCGGCGGGAGCCGTAAGCCACAGGAAAGTTCGTAAGACCACTGGTGAATCGATAGTCTGGAGAGTTCATGGCATTCAAGAGAGTGAGCCTATACTGGTCCCCTAAGGCAGAGGTCAGAACAACAGTTTTTCTTAACTACAGTACAAAAAGGACGCACTAGCGCTCAGCGGCTGGCGGGTCTCATAACGTCGTCAGTTGAGGGGTAAGCAAAACGTCATGTCAAGAACTGCGGGGGACCAGCTGGTATAGCCGTCACCTACGCCTCTCTAAAACATCTCTATTGAAAAGCACTAATGAAAATGAGTATATGATGGAGAGCTTGGTGCATTTTGCATGAAAGTGCAGAAACAGCCGCAAGGACTGACGAAAACTGTCGAATTGAAGGCAGCGACTGCACTTTACAGAGGCAGGTGTAGCTACACAGGTGAGTAGGGATTGAACAGGCTACCCACTTGCCTAAAACGAGAATAAGCTTCTATCCGATTGAGTTTTTGTCGATAGGACCGTTAAATTCTCCTAAAACCCTCATGTTAATCGCGCGCTCAGTGCAGAACATGCTGCGCACCGGCTGCTTGCGCAGCGAAAAAGCTCAAGTCACTGCGCGCTGTGGGGAAGGGAAAAATTGCTCGAACATCCCATGGAAGTAAAGATTAGAACTAATGTATCCGGATTTGCTTGCCTAAACTGCCTGGACAAGCAGAAAAATGTAGAGCAGCATGTGTGTGTCCTGGAACTTGGCGGTCCCACAGTACTACGCTTCACGCCAGATTACGAAAGTCATCCTACAGTACTACGCTTCACACCGGATTACAAAAGTCATTCTAAGGGACAAAAATGTATAAATATCTCTTCATTATACCTACGCAACTGCGCGTAATTAAAAAGGGTTTGAGGGTGCTTACCTGATTCGTCGCGCTCTTTACTGCATGGCCTGCGGTGGTGTTCTGCAGATACCCTACAGGCGACTCCGTTCACGCTGCCATGTCTGGCATTTAATTTTATTGCTCACTATGAATTTCGACTGTAACTAGTTTTGTCCCAAAAAGCCAATGTATTTGTGCATAGCCTTTGCAGTGCATTGATGCTAATCGGCCACCAAAATCACTGGAGGCGTCGCGTACCACATGGGAGGGCGACTCCCAGAGACGAAATGCAGATCCACAGAGACGGCAGTTCTATGAGGACTTTCCAAGGCCTAACGAAAATATGTTCCTTGGTCATGGAGAGTAGCACTTGGCGGTGGCACTTAACGAGCCTTGCTATACTGCATATGACATATCTAAAAGACAATGTAGACATGGGCAACTGGAAACTGATAGGCCAGCGTTTCAATAGTAGGTTTCCTAGCGCGAGCCAAACCGAGATGTTAGTATAGCCCGCCAGAATTGGGTGAAACAGAACTCGTGAATAATGTACTGCACAATGCTCAGGCCGAGTTCACCTTGGCGTAACAGTCAGAAGAGTTAATTTACTAAGGCTCTACTGTGTGAAAATTCAACTCCCCCAGCAGGAAGACGCCGGCAAAGAGATTCGGACAAACGTGGAAAAGGTGCCGTCGAATGCGGCACAATGCTAGGGAATTTATGTCTCTAGACCTAAAGAGAAGCCAAACCAAATCGAAGCCCTCCCGCAGGATGCCCGTAGCAGTGGAACAATTAAACACTTAAAAAGGCATACCTATGCGTTGGGGAGCTCAAACGCGTTAGCGGGCAGAGACGCAGCCAACGCTCACCCAAAGAAATAACTACAAATGCTACGAAGTAGAGAAAACCAGTCAGCAAATAATGCAAAGGAGCCTCGATAGCCCACAGAAGAAAAACACAACTAGACGCCAGCAAAAATACGCAAAGAACTGATAAGCAGTAAGCGTGAGGCCCGAGAAATGCCTACCTCGGGCTTAGACCGGTTGAAGTGCACATTGCGTGCAGCAGTGATACGCGAACCATTATGCCGGTCAGTGAGTGCCGGCGTATGCACAGTAACGCGGATACGATGGTGGCTACCCGCTTTGGGATTGCTGACCATAACTGTGAGTTTCTCTTGGATACCTGTGGACGGCGTAGGTTTATGAGGCCTCCCGCTGAACAACAGCAGTCCAGATTTGGGCGGCTCCCTAGAGATCATCTGTTTTCTGGGACTAACGGTAGGAAGTTGCCTGTTTGTGGGGAAGGGAGCGGATGAAAAACACGGTGCGGTCGTGAGTGGCTTTTGAGCCATGTCGTAGTGAGGCTTATTCGCTACTGTCTACCAAGGGCCTCGATAGGACTGCACCGAAAAAAGCAAATTGATACTCTTACTCTGGAAAGCTGATAATCAATGCAAATGGCAGACAAGCTGGTCTGCAAGTTTTCCACATGGACAAAAAAGACACCTGGCTGAATGAAGCTCCCCCGAAGACTTGCAAGCAAACATACAATTTGCTAGAGACACAGCTACGGGGACGAATGGAAAAACAGACGGAGCTCTTCCTATGCACACCGCAAAAGCAGTACATGTTACACAGGAAAGTAAGGAGCAAAGGTGCACACCAAAGGTACTAATTTGGCAGGCATGCGTAAGCTTGCATCAGGAGTGCGCAGTAAGCATAATACTCAGTCCGTTCCAAGCAGACTGAATAGTAGTCCGCTGGCTCCACCCGATTTGAGCATAATAAGAACTCTTTAACACTAGGCCCGACTGTATACGCTTGCCTTTATCCTTGTGGCTACATAGACGAAGCTGCACTGCGCAGCATTCCTACGCAAGAGGAAAATAGGCGGGTCCTTAGGTCACACTAACTACAACTATTTAAAACAACTATTTTAAACTTATTCAATGTTTGTCGGTCTGGTGGCGTGCAGTGGAAAGTCACTCCTGCTGGGAGATTTCCAGGTAAGAAACGGCTGTCGTGAGAGCGCTTAGGCAGAATGCAGGAAATCAAATCGTTCAGTGCCGGCCGAGTACTCTTTCAAAATTTTCATGTGAACAGTCATGTGTTGACCACCGGACCACTGCTGACGCTTCTTCTGTAGAGGGTTGGGATCCTCGTCATAGGCCTTACTAGAAGATATGCCTCCAGTGTCTCCCCTCAGTATGGATTCATTATGCATTTCCACATAAGCCGATTTCTCTTGCACCATTATTATTGGCCCATGGCACACCTGCTTTAAGCCCTCTGGGAGTCCTATTAGTGGTCCAGGCTGGCCTTTCCCTCTTCCATGCCTGGAAGGGAGGGTCGACAGCGCATCAGCTCCTCATAGAGCTATGCACATTTTTGGGCTCCTCTAGCGAGTATACTGCATTTGATAAGCTGTGGGGTCATATTTTGCTGGCCTTAACAGTCAGAGCTAGTCTAGATATGCGGCGTATCGCCGAAGCTTCCAATAGTGACAACCAGAGACCATTACTCTAGTTCGACTAGGACCTTAGGCCTTCTCGACTCGAGCATTTGCATTGTTTCTGAAGGAATCATACCGAGCAGCCGTGGCACTAGATTTACGACATTAAACAGGAGTGTGACATAGAAGTACAGACGATACCAAAAGATGGGTCTGTGAAGCCCTTTATGAGACCACTTAATATTTTGCAGTAAACAAAAAACCTGTCGACACATGAAAAAAAAATTAAATGCTTTGAAACATGCAAACAGCTTTCGCCATACTGGCTGCTGCCGAATCAACAAGGGTGTATCGGGGTCTAGACACCTTTGAGTCAAGAGAGGACAGGGCCAAAACGTTCATGTTAAATTCCAGTGAAATTGGGTGCTATTACATCGTTGAAATCGGTCAATTAGGAGGTCCTTGTACTCAACTAGCGCTTCCTCACAAAGGGACTGCCACAGAGCCACCTATCCGCCGGGCACCGTTCCGTCGTTTCGATTCAGCTTCCCCTAGGTCTGCTTCACATCTTCGAAGCACACAGCCTGCGTCAAAATGAGATGCGGGTTCATTTAGTTACTTGTGGAAGGTAAATGAGGACTTGAAGCCCTTAGATACCCGGTTTAACTATACAGGTTATTTACTCGATGTGGTGCGAACACTATGCTGTCGATTCGATGACATCTTTGGCCCCACATGGGGACGAGTCCTTTGCTATATGAATTTGAGGAATCTTTTTATTTCAGTTCAGGCCCTAAAGGGCTACCGAGGAGGCCTCGCAAGCATTGGTGCCCCGTTGGTGTCCGCTGGCTCTCTGTGGTCCAACAAGAGCACAGCCTGATGATGCCGCAGCAACAACACCTTTCCTCGTACGCAACTGCGCCTAGGTGCTTAAATAACGAAATCAAGAGGGAAGACTTACGTATTGAATGGCTTGCGTATTAAACGTGCTCGGCTTGTAGTCGGGGGCCTCACACCGCCTGTATCTTCGTGAGGATAGTGCGTTGAGAGTAATGCTGCCCCCAAGCTGCCCTTGCACACGTAGTGCGATGCTCCCCTTATTAGTTTGCAGGGTTTCCTGCGCCTTGCTTACTGTTGTCTGGCTGCAGTGCCTTCTCTCTCCAGGTGCTGTAGCCATAGCAGCGAGGGAGCTGCACATTTCGACAGCGAAGAGCGTGCCTGCCGCTGATCCTAATTCTGATCCGGTAGGCCATCTCCCGATCAGTCGTGGAGATGACCATTTGTTTCTTATATCCAGCAGAAGCGGGAACGGCTGCAACACAGGGGATCGGAGGTCGGCTGCATCGGCTTCGGAGCTGTCTGTTCATGTTGAGCCGCCAAGATCAGCCAGGCCAGGCCGGTTCTTCTCTTCTCCCGTATTATTCAAAGTAAAGTCTTTTGCGGCAGCGGCGATTGGAACACTAGCAATTATTTACCTGGTGATGCGTTGCACAGGAAACCGGGGGCTTCCTTCGGTGCGAGGGCAAACGCTGAGGGCACTTTCTGACTCGACAGAAAGCAGCAGCGCCAGCGACGGGGCCAGCGTCAGCAGCGACGTTGAGAGCAGCTCGGAAGGTGACTCCGGGGTGTCTGCTTGTGACGTCTTGAATGTTGAGGAAAGGCCGGCATTCTCGGCACCTAGGTGGAAAATATCTGAAGAGGAGGTCCACGACAGAGCATCCTTATTATTTAAAGAAGCCAGGGATTTAATGGCATCGGCCCTAAAAGTACTACCTCTTTTCAGGGGGCCCGTCCATAACCCTCTAACCACGTTGCTTATCATCGTGGCCCAGGAACTAGCTTCTGTTCGTTTCCATGCAGATCTTTGGGTGCAGGCACGATGGAGCCCAGCAATGGGTGAAATATTAGAAAGTGGGAGGAAACTTGTGGGCTCTGGGGAGGCTTCGAAAGCCAGTTCTGCCATGTCGAGGGGCTGCCAAAACGTGCTTTCGTTTTTGGAAAGTCTCGCTGAACATAATCCCGAGAAGAACCCGCGGGAGCAGGAACAGGCCCTGAAGGATCTGTTAGCTGCTGTGACAATGGCGCGGGCTGCATTCCATCAATGCGCAGTTGCTCTTTCCGTTCTTTTACCATGGACAGAGGCGAAAGCGCAGAAAGCAGCAGGAATCGAGGGTAGAGGGGCCAGAGGAAGAAAAGGTGACTCGCGCGTCATACCAAAAGAACTGGAGGCGCCATTGACGGCAGTGTTGACAACGGTACAATTGGCTCGCCGTGAAGCATTGCTGTCTGACCCCGAGTTAAGTGCTTGGATAGAAGTTTGCGAACGAAAACTTAGACAAAAAATTATAGCAAACTCAAAATTTGGCCGCGCAGCCACTACCGCTTCTCCGTTAGTAGCTCAAATGAGTGAACTCTTAAGAAGCTGTGAGGATCCCGTACGAAAATTGCGTACCGCCCACGATGATGCGTTCAAAAGCTCCCTCAGCGACGATTCTACGCCCGTCGTGGCCACAAAAAAACGGCCAACGAGAACAACAGAGCGGTCTTGGGCCGTAGCAGTAAGAGGGGCCCTGAGGAGAGATGGAAGTCAAACTTCTACCAGTTCCTCTAGCTCTTCTAAAGCCAAGCATGCAGACGCAGCTGCAGTACAAGCCGAAATTTCAGGAGGACAGTCTAGGCCGTCTCGGAAAAAAAGAACTGAACCTACAGTACTGTGGCTACCCCCATATTTTCCGATGCCTGGCGTATTGTCGTTGGCACCCGACGGAGGCTTACGATTCCCCGCACTTCCTCTAATTCGCAGGCCTAATATGGACCCCGTATCTTGGCCTTTAATTACAAGTAGTCCGTGGCTTTCCCTACCCGGAACAATCCCAAAGACTTCTCCGACAGCATTGGCTTTGGAGGCGCCTGCAGCGGCCCCAAAGTATTTGCTCAAAAAGAAAGCCCTGAATCCAGATGCTCCTCCATTTACACCCAAGTTGACTATGCAGGATAGGGGCGAAGGTACAACTGTAGGGACGAAGAAGAAAAAACACGATATAGTAAGAGCTCCCGGGGCGAATAAGGGCCCAGGGACACCCTTTTACGGCCATGCATGGGGCGAGCCTTCAGAAAGCACTGGGCAAGAGGAAAGTTCAGACAGTGGAGAGGAGCCCTTAACGTAGAAGAATTTTTACCTGCCAGCCTGCTTGAAACGACAGCGACGGCAAAGGCAGCAGGCAAGTGGGCAACAAGAGCAGAAGCAGCAGCGCTGGAAGAAGCACTGCCAGCGGCTGCAGGGAAAGACGTGGAAAGCTCGGATGGAAACTGAAGGAAGCTTGGACGATAACGGTTTTGTTTCCTTGGTGTTCTTTGTAATCATCTCTTCCTCTTTTCCTCAAGCTTGTTATTTTTACCACACATTTTTGTCATTTTATCAGCGTGCGTATTCGCTTCTTAGCCTCTGTGTGCTCTATTGCTCCACCTTTCCTTGATCAACTCTCTGGTATAGTGCAGCGCAGGAGCAGCTGAACGCTTTTTTAGGAGTTCGGTCAAGGCGGAAACGCGCCATGTTCATTTGGAAGTGGCTTGCTGTTGTTTACGTTGGAAAATTCCGTTGGATAAAACAAATTAAACTGATTAAAAATGTGTAGTTTTTATTGTGTACTGTGGCACGCTGCACTGTCGTAAGCTTACTTGCAAACCAGGATTTGAAGCAATCCCAAGCAAAACTTATGTATCGAGCAAGCTAGTTTATGATTCATGCGTATGCTTGCAACGTACGTACAGATTTGACATGCGATATGCTTGCATGTAATGCATGCATGCATTTGCTCCGTAAATTAGACTAATGTAGATGTTCCTGTCGCCTCTTTGATTTCTGGCACGGAACTCATTAAAATGGCTCGAGAACTATTCTGAAGGCCATTTTGTGGCGGTGGAAAGCTTTGCTTGTGGGTATATTTGTGAGTGGGCTTCAAAGAACCGAGCTTTTCGAGCGTAACCGTGACACAGTTCTAGTGCCTTGATAAAGAGCACCAGTGCCATGCGTTATTGTGTCGTCTCCCTCCTGAAGCCCGCTGTAGGCTCTTTTTTCTTTTAGCCGGCATGCCTCCGACGCCTGCGCACCTATTGTAGGTGGTCTGAGCACAAGCATAGTAACAACCTCAGCTGCAAGGCAGAAGGTCGCAATAACTCGGCTTGTCGCTGACTTCACTTTTGTATTGAAAAAGGCCGTTGTTGCATCCTAGGTCGTATGCCCATCTGCCCAGCTGGTCCTGCGTCCCATAGATCACTTTTTAGATGAAGCGAAAATGAAGGGCGAATTCATCTACACCCTTCTTTCTTTTCTGGCATTTCGTCTCATAACCACACTTTTGTTGAGCCAGGAGGGAAAAAAACGAAAGCGTCACCTTCCAAATGGCACGTGAGCCATAGAGAATTACTACACCCACTGCCAGGACGAATCTTCACCATTTTTTGTCCAATGTGTGTTGGAAAGAGCTAGCTGAGGAAAATTCGAACCCTTCGGTTACTCTACAGCAGATCCTGCCCGCCCACGTTGTGGTTGCCTCATGTGATTCTGCTTTTGAGTTCTGTGGGCATAAAGATGCTGAAACATCCGGCCTTTTCTATGCTCGAAAGTTCTTAAGTCCAAAGTTGAAGTGACGGTCCAGTAGTCTATTGCAGTGAGATACTTCAAAATGCGCCAACGATACTTCATCAAAGACCCAGTTTCTTGCCTTGCAGGTGATACATCTTTCCAGGTTGCCGCTGCTGTTGCTGCCGCAAGCTAAAAAGGTAGTGAGACTGACTTATACAATGAAGACTGACCAGGGGTCTTCCACACAACGACTTTGCGCTGTGCAGCCCACAGTGGCGGTGTAGTACTTCTCTGCCAGCCAGAGGGAACGCATACGCAAGATTTTTATATCATTCTTCAAGTCTACACGTAATATTTGACACGCGGATACTCATGCGCCAAAATACATGCATATACATTAGAAAAGTGTGGAATAACACATACATGCAATATGTAAAGGTGCATTGAACGACGAGTCTTGCTATGAATTAAACCTATGCATGTGTGGATAAAATCGCGCTTGCACCGAAAAAAAAATAAATGCAGGGAAATCGCAAAAACAACCGTAATAAGCAAGAGAGAGACAAACTTAAACCCGCGAGCATCCCAATAAATCTTGATCCATATTTTTAAATCAGCGGCGTCCACCACAGTGAGGAACGGCAATTCCTTGAATGCTCTACGCTGTTTTTGCCATAGCTAAAATTGCTTCAAATAAAATGTGCAAGCACTTCCCTATTGTAGCATGCCCTGGCCTTCATTTGACCCGCCGCCAGTCCCCGGCAGCCTCTCTAGAAAGGAAATGCAAAAATAGAGCAAAACCGAATGAAGACAGGCAACAGAGGTCACATCAAGGAGACACAAACAGTAGAACAGAACGTGGAAATAAGTGCAGTGGCGAAAAACAAGAAAACTGCAGCAGCAGTCGCTTTGCGTGTGGGGCGTCTTCCCCACGGCCTCTGTCTGAGGCTTATCTATCGGCATTTCTCTATGCACCTGCAGCTCTTGCCGATTCGTTTGCTGATGCTGCTGCCTGAGCATCTGCCGCTGCTCCCACTGCCACCGCTGAACCTTCCGCTGTTGCTGTCGGCATTCCCTCCAGTGCCAACAAGAGTAAAAACAAAAGTAGTACAACATCACTGCGTCATAGTTAAATGCATTTGCTTCTGCTGCTGCTCTCCCGTTGCTTCAAGTATCACGCCCAAATCAAGGCCACAGAGGGACGCAAACGACTGGCTGCAAGGGGCCATTTTCATTTTCTTTGGATCTTCTGCATTCATCACCCCCGAGTGGCTCGTTGCTTGAATAGTTTGAGAAGATTCAAGATGATCATGGTAGGACCCAGGTGTCAGAAACAACTTTAGAGCTGTCCTCAACCCTTAGATGGTGCCTTAGAGCCTAAAGACCGATAACAGGCTCTTCAGACAGACACCTTAATGCGTCTTCCCTGGGGCTTCTACAAGACTGCACAAAGCCTAGGACTCTGCCAGAGGTTATTTTAGGGGCCTCCAAAAACCTCAATAGAGGGACCCAATACAGGTTTCTCAAAGCTTTCTGTGCTGCTTTCCTAAGAGGTCCCTTGAAGAGGGCCTTCAATGCGCTGCCGTGGGGGCTCATACAAAAAGTCCTGTAGCCAAAAGCCATAAAAGAGGTCAGGAGACTAAAACCACTCGCTTTTCATGCCAAAGAATCAGGAAAACGAAAAGGAAAGATAAAGAGCGCCCCACAACTCTAATAAATAAAACCCGTGAAGCTCGCAGAAGAGGAACGGGGGTTCCCAGACAGGCGAGAACGGGGCGATGTAAGGTACGAGAAGCACAATTATCGCGCTTTCCAGAGTAACCTCGAGATCTATGTGGCTTCCGTCAGCCTTGCTCTCCTGCTGCAAATCCTGCTCCAGGAGTGTTCGCTGGATTCCTTGCTGCAGTTCGTGCTGCAGGGGCTTTTGCGGCACATCCTACTTCATGCTTCTGCTGCGGCGTTTGGCGCTGACCTTTTTGCTGTTCGTATTGCACACGCTTGGGCTACATCTTGTATTCAAACTTTTCATGGAGTGTTTCTCCGACAGCGCCTGCTGCAACTCCTTCTGCAGGTGTTCGCGCCGCACCTTTTTCCGCCTGAGTTTGTGCTTCATCTTCCGCAAGTCATGCGAACGATTTCGCACCTTCTGCTGCTCCTATTGTTGTAGATGCTTCCGCGACTTCTTCCGCCTGAACCGTGGTGCCCGTTGCAGGTTCATGCTGTGAATCTCTTGCTGCAGTTCCCACTGCGGACGTTTGCACTGCATCTCCTGCAGTGCTTACCCACGTACTCGTGCTGCAGCATCCGCTTCGGTTTCTCCTTCGACTTCAGCTGCAGCTTCCGCTTCAGCTTCCGCCGCATATTCTCCCGCATCTTTCGCTGCAGCTTCCCCTGCAGCTTCTGCTGCAGCTTCCGCTTCAGCTTCCGACGCATCTTCTGCCGCTACTTCTGCTACAGCTTCTGCTTCGGCTTCCGCAGCAGTTTCCGCTTCAGCTTCCGCAGCAGCTTCCGCTTCAGCTTCTGCTTCAGCTTCCGCTGCAGCTTTCGCTTCAGCTTCCGCCGCGTCTTCTGCTTCAGCTGCTGCTGCAGCTTCCGCTTCAGCTTCTGCTCCTTTTGCTTCAGCTTCCACTGCAGCTCCCGCTGAAACTGCTTCTGCGTCGTGTGCTCCCCAAGAATTTGCGGACAAGTCTGACGGGACTACCGAGACAGATACAGAACGATGAGCGGCACGATGGCCACGACGACGGCTAGAACGACGAGGTAGGGAAGCAGAACTGTGTGATCCCGAGTCAGCAGAATCAGCAACGTCAGCTGAAGAGGCTGAAGAGGCAGGTGCGACACTAGGAGAAGACGCTTCTGAGGAGGGATCAGGAGGAACAAAAGAGCCCTGGTACATGGGAACAGGACCAACAGGAACGGGGGGGTAGACGGGAAGAGAATCGGCAGAAGGCGGTGGGTATCCAGGATGAGGACCGACAGGAGGGGGTGGATGGGCTGGAAAAGGGCCCACGGGAGGAGAGGGGTACGTAAGAGGACCAATAGGGGGAAGTGGGTAGGTGGGAGGTACAGCGGGACGGGTTCCGTAGTCAGTAGGACCAAAGGTAGGGGGTGGATAGGCAGAAGAAGGACCAGCGAAAGTGGGCGGATAGGCAGGAGAAGGACCAGTGGGAGGAGGCGGATAGGAAGAAAAAGGACCAATGGGAGGGGCTGCATGAGGAGGAAAAGGACCAACGTGAGGGGGTGGGTATGGGGGTGAAGGACCAACGGGAGGGGGTGGATAGGGGGGTGGAGGACCAACGTGAGGGGGTGGGTACGGAGGTGAAGGACCAACGGAAGCGGGTGGATAGGCGGAAGAAGGACCACTGGTAGAGGGGGGATAGGCAACATCAGGACCAACACCAGCGGGTAGGTAGGCAGAAGGACCGACTGGACGGGGTGTGTAGGCGGGAGGAGGGCCAAAAGCTGGCCCTGGGTACATGGAATCAACATTAACTGCAGGAGGTGCGTAAACGGGATCAGGAGCAACAGGAGGCTGCAGGTTCTCAGGAGGGTCATTTGGAGGAAGTGAGTTATCGGCAGGCGAACCAGCAGGAGAACCTTGATAGTCAGGATGAGATTCAACAGGAGAGGGTGGGTGTTCACTAGGGGGGTCAGCAGGAGAGGATGGAGTATCGGAGGCAGGATCACTGGGTGAAGGTGGGTACTCAGCAACAGGTTCCTCCGTAGGTGGGTAGCCTGTTTGATCACCAGCAGGAAGGGCTGCGTAGGGGGAATTTGGATCAACAGAAGGGGGTGGGTAGGCGGGATTTGGATCAACAGAAGGGGGTGGGTAGGCGGGATTTGGACCAACAGGAGGGGGTGGGTAGCCAGGAAAAACACCGACGCGGGGGGGTGGGTACGCAAAAGGACCAGCCGGAGGGGGTGGGTAGGGGGGGTGAGGGCCTACAGGAGGGGGTGGGAAACCATGATGAGGACCAAAAGGAGGGGGTGGGTAGGCGGGATGTGTACCAACAGGCGGGGTTGGGTAGCCGGGACGAGGGCCACCAAATGGAGGGAGGAACTCATGAGGACCACCGGGCATCTGTGCGAAGGCATTGGGGCCGAAAGGAGGACCTGGTTGCATGGGAACAGCACCAAGAGGAGGTGCAGAGGGAGGAGGCGGGCCAAAACGAGGGCTTGGGTAGGTGGGGAAACGGCCAGTAAAAGGATGCCGGAATTTGCCCCTATTGTCGGCGAAAGGACGTTGGCGGCCTCGAAGGGTGAAGGCTCGAGGACGAGGAAACCCGCGGGCTGGGTGGCCATTAGGATGACCAGCAGGCGGTCTCAAGTAAGGCAGAGAATTGCCAAAAGGAGGGCGTGGGAAAGCCCGAGGAGCAGCAGAAAGCCGTGGGTGGAAGGTAACAGGACCCATAGAACGGCATGAGCCAACCCCAGGAGGACAGAAAGGACTTTGTTCGGCAGCGTTAGGATCCAAAGGCTGGGGTCCGTAGGAAGCATGCATACCAGCAGGAGGGGCAGAAGCAGCAGAAGGCACATCAAATGGAGCTTCTGGGTAGGCAGGAGCACCATCAACAGGAGTACTTGGTGCCCCAGAACTGCTGACTGCAGAGCCTTCAGAGGAGGGATAAGCGTCAGTATGGGCATCTGCCAAGGTGGAATGAGCATCAACGGGTGGGGCGGAGGCAGAGGTAGGATATTCAACGACTGCAACTGAGCGGGAAGCGGGATGGTCAACAGGTGGAGCCGAGGCAGCTGTGGGATAATCAGGAATTGGGCTTGAGGAAGCCGAACGAAAATCACTCGAAACGGCTGAGGAGGAAAAATGCCCTTCAGCAGGTGGGTCGGAGGCAGTAGAGCCATCATAAGGGCCGTCTGAAACGGAAGGGGGACCTGAATCGAGCGGCTCTGAAGCGGTAGAAGGATCTGTAGAAGGCGGCTCTGACCCGCGGGAAAAGCGTAGAGAAAGCTGAAGCGAGCCAGCAGGAGAATCAGCAACAACAGGCTCTGAGGAGGAAGAGGCTTGACGAACGAGAGGCTTTGGAGAGGAAGAAGCACGATGAACATCAGGCTCTGAAGCAGAAGAGGAGTCCGCAACAGGCGGCACTGCCGGCAGTTCTGGCAAGCCCGAGGGATGATTAGTTGGCTCTAAGAAGACGGAATGATAATCAGCGGATGCATTTTCACCGTCAGGCAAACCATCTTGCGGTGATTCCGAAGCTTCGGAAGGATCATCAGCTTGTGCCTCTGGCATACTGGAAGGATCATCAACAGGCTGGGGTGGCGCCGTGAGATGATAACCGCCAGCAGCAGGTGAAATGACCAAAGGACGATGAACAAGTGGGCCTATGGGGGGGAAGGGAAAACCAGGCGCTGGAAAAACGCCGGCGGCAGGGGATGAGGTGGAGGTAGGAGCATGTAGAGTCTGTAGGTAGAAAGCGGTTTGCGCAGCAGGAATTGGTGCTGCGGCAAGAGCAGGAGGTGCGACAGCAAAAGCAGCAGGTGCGGCAGCAAAACCAGCAGCATCACCTCCAGCAGGGTCTGGAAACGCTGCGGCGGTACCCGCGGCAGCGCCAGAGCTGCTCCACGAAGCAGCCTCATCACCATCTGTATAAGCACCAGTCCCTGCTACAGCTTCTGCAGGGGACGCCGCGGTGGCCCCTGCAGCAGCTTGTGTTTCAGCCCCAGCTTGCGGCCTGGTCAACAAATGCACACGCGGCCAGGTTCGAGTAGGAGCCCCAGCAACCGCCTCAGTAGCGGCAGAGCCGGCCTCCGCACTGTTTGGCATCTTTGCTGCAGGACTCCTCGAGAGGGTCTTTGAAGCAGCCCTTGCTGCAGCCTCAGCTACAGCCCTTGGGGCTACATGGTACCTCTCGGGCACCGAGTGTCTGCTACGCCAGAAGCCGGAACCAAGAAATAAAATTCCGCGGCGGCGTGGGAAAGAAGTGGCAGCAGCAGGTGCAGCAGCAGGGGCAGCAGCTGCAGCGTCCGAGTCCCTCCCCGCATCGTCATCGCTGTCCTCCGCAGCGTCATCGCTCTCCTCCTCAGCTTCTTCAGCAGCGCGAGCAGCAGCTTCTTCAGCAGCGCGAGCAGCAGCACGAGAGGCAGCGCGGGCAGCAGCGCGAGCAGCAGCGCCAGCTGCGTGATCCCCAGCTACGGTGTGCTGGGCCATCGGGAGAGGCAGCCTACTCTTGGGCACTCTCAACTTGGCCTCGTACTTGAGGCAGTTGGCCTGCTCCCTGAGGACTTCTTGCAGGCGCCTGTCAGCCACACCCAAGAGCTTGCGGAGCTGCGAAAGCAAAGACCAGTCCTGCAGACGTTTGGACATGCTGGCGGTGTCGAGGAAGATGCGGTGTTTGCACTTGGGCTCGCAAGTGAGCAACCAGGCGGTGAGGTTGACGTCGGAGCCGGCGTTGCCCATGCGGGTTCTCTTCAAGGCCGTGAAGAAAGTGGAAAGGGAAATCCCCAGAGCCCGCGGCACGCAGCTCATATGTCTTCGCTCTCTGATGTCGCCGGACGTGGCGGCCCCCGGCTCGTTGTCCTGCTTCCACATCTGGCTGAAGGCTCTCCTGCGGCGGAAGCCTCTCTGCTGCCAGGGCAAGAGCGTGTTGAGGGCGCGGACGGACTGGGCCACGGTGGCCCTGCCCATGGTAATTGCGGTGAAGAGCCCCCGGGTGGCCTCGAGGGGCCCCAGGTGGGGCCCCCAGGGCTTGCGCCCGCGCACGTTGCCCAGGAAACGCATGACTCTGCGGCCCCGCCGCGACATGGTGCAGAAGGTCTTCCTGTAGTACCAAGGCGCAAGCAGGTCGCGGCCCTGTTCCTGCACTTCGTCGGCCACGGCTTCCCACTGCTGCAGCACCCACGGGTCTGCGTAGAATCGCACGAAAGCCAGTTCTTGAATGGCCACCGCCAGCAGCAGCACTGACGTCGTCAGGGAGTTCCTGTCGTCCAGCAGCGGCAGCAGCTTCCGGCCCATCTTCAGCAAGTCCGTCAACTCCTGAAAGAACAAAAGGGCCCGCTCGTGCACCCGATCAGTAGTCAGTCGCTCTATGGGCCTCGCTGCTGCCTTCGCCAGAGCATCCCGGTACTCCGCTGTCAGGCAAGAAGACCACCCCATGCCCCTTCTGGGCCCGCCTTCCTGCTCTTCCTCGCTGGAGCCCTCTTCTTTGTCCAGACTTGAGCTGCTGCCGGCCTCGTCGGAGGCCGCCAGCGCCCGCGCGGAGCCGCGCCGCTGCAGCGACGCGCGCTGCCCCACGTGGCAGCGAAGAATCAGGTAGCCCAATGCAAGCAGGCCTACTGCTGCAGCGGCCAAGTAGCCGCCTTTGGACATCGCTGGCCGTTTCCAGGTCGCCGGGAACTCCGGACTTCCTTTCAAGGCCTCCAACTGCAACTGAGCTGCTGGCTGCGGAGCCTCCATGCTGCCGCTGCCGCTGCTCATCGGCGCGATCCAGGTCGAGTCGCTTGCCTTTTCTATAACCTCACCGCCGGCATGGGCGGCGGCGAATACCTGCATTCCTGTTTCTGCAGCAGCCGCCACTGCCGCCAGGCCTACAAATCCTCCAATAAAACACTGAGAGACATTTCGCCCAAAGCAGCTGCCGCTGCAGCGGCTACAGCCGCTGCCAGCGTAGCGCCTTACCCGCATCGCCTCCAGGCAAACTCAGTATGTCGATCCCCAAAATTCGACCCCTACAAAACGCCAAATTTCAAGGAGGGCCTACGAAGCCCGCAGTAAGGAGCCGATGCTTCGGCCTTTGCCTGTGTCTTTGTAGCTCTTTGGCACGCAGCCGATGACCTGCCTCGGACGCCTGGGCTGCAGCACAAGCACTACTCCGTAGTGCACAGGGCGCCTCAGAGCCGGATTGGCTCTTTTACGATCTTTAAAGAGAAGAAATAAACTCTGGAAAAAATTAATTATAACAAGAAAGATGGCCGAAGACTCCCCACAGACGACAGCGGGCCGCATTGCGTGTCCACTGCGGCAATGGTGGGAAGCCACGTTAACGGAGGAGGCAGTGAAAGCGATATGTCCACAAGAGTGAAACTAAGGCAACTGATACTACTTTTCATTGTTAATCTTTATATTTCAGAGTTTCTCACGCTGTTTCAAAGATAATCCATTGAGCCACCGTGTGTCCTGTCTCACAGAACCACTAGCAGCTCAAGGAGCAAAAAAAGATGCTCTTCACTATCCGTCGTAGTCTAGGTGGTTAGGATACGCGGCTCTCACCCGCGCGACCCGGGTTCAAGTCCCGGCGACGGAACGTTTTCACTGTTTTCTTTTTTCAGTCTAACTAAGCCCCCTAATTGGTTTTTGATGGTGATGTTAGTCCTTTTCCAATTAAGCACGTTCAGCCTTCTTCTCACCACTACAGCCGCAACGCGCAGCAGGAAGCTGCGGTGCGCTGTGTGACAGCATCACATCGACGGCTACTGCCGGCCCACTGCAGTGAAGCGAAGCGCAACGAATTATCCCCGATGGGCTTTTTAATAAGAGAAACTAAAAAGGGACTTCTGTGGAACTAAATATAACGAATGTACTCCAGCCTGCGTCAGGCCAGTGCCCGCCACCACTCCAGGTGGGGGCAGTTACACAATCTGCCGGTGCCGGCTGTGGCTCAACGGTAAGCACTTTGTGTCATTAAATCATTTTACATCTATAAGAAAACAGAAGGAATAATTAAGTGACTCGCGGAGTATCTTATTTGGCAGCCCGCGGCGTGACCTGCATGTGCTGCCGCTGTTTCCGCTGCGCCTGGGGATCCCCGCTGCGCGACACGGGGGTTTGCAGCGGCTTTTCATTGGGTGTTTTGCCTCTTTTTGTGTCTCCTTTTTATTGTTTAGATCGCATGAAGGGTAATTGGGGCCTTTACTCTCTGTCTCGGCGCGGCTTGCAGTGCCGCCTCTGTCCCCCTGTGTCTGTCGCCCAGATGGTGTTCTTGACGACGGGCTTCAACCCTAAACCCTAAACCCTAAACCCTCGGGGGACTTCTCAAACCCTCCTCGATGTAGTTGGTTGTGCGTCTCTGTGTCTCTTTCCTGCCTGGCGGCGGCTCTGCGTTCTCTCCTCGACTCCCGCGCTTCTTGGGGCCTCCGCCAGCTGGCTGTTTGTGTCTCCAGCGGGCCCTCTTGACCACTTAAAGGGCTTCCGTGGAGAGCCATTTGCTTCTTTTTAGCGTTATTAAGAGGATTCAAAATGGTTGAAATTCGAATTGCCCACACCTCGTCCACTGTCGATGCAGCCAAGCCTCTACAGCAGCACCACGGGCTCTCTCAGTCCAAGTCCGCGGCCGCGCAAGGGCCCCCCTTGGGGGCCCCCCTGCATCCCCAGGAGGCGCTGTTTCCGCGGCCGTTGGCTTGCTGCGCCATCTCCGCGGGTCCGGCCGCTGCTGCTGCTGCGGAGCGGCCGCGCAGCAGCTGCAGCAGCAGCTGCAGCAGCAGCGCAGAGCGTTTCGTGAGCAGCAGCAGCAGCATAGAGACGGAGGGCCTGTGCGTGGGTCTGCGCAGCGTGGCGATTGAGCCGAAGTGCAGCAGCAGCCCGCCGCAGCGCGGGGAGCAGCAGCAGCAGCAGCTTGCAGGAGCAGCGGCTCGCGCCGCCGCCGCGGGCCGCGCAGCTGAGGGGCCCCCCGGGGGCCCCCCGAGCCCCAAAGACAGCCAGGGGGGCCCCCGAGAAGTGGCTTTTGGATTTTTAACTTTTCTTTTCTGCGGAGTGGCCTCCCTGGTGTGCTGGCAGTCGCTGCTGGGGATGCTGCCGTACATCGAGCAGCACGCCTACGGGGGGGCCCCCTACGGCAACAGCGTCTTAGGCATATACCAAGTGGGGTGCATTGCTGTTCAATTAATTTTCATTTTCTTTATTGATGCCATGAAGCCCTCTTTGGTGGTTTCTGCCGTTCTCTGCGACGCCACGCTCGCCGCGCTGCTGCCCCTCGTCCTGACCAGGTGTACGTACACCCCAAGCCTCCTGCTCTTCCACGCAGTCGCTCTCCTCTTCGGCGTCTGCGCTGGGATCGTCTCCGGGGGATCCATTGCCCTCGCCTCTTCCCTCCCCTTTGGCTTTATTGGCTCCTTCTCCATGGGTCCGTCCTGCTGCTGCTGCTGCGGAGCCGCTGCTGCTGCTGCGGAGTCGCTGCTGCTGCTGCGGAGTCGCTGCTGCTGGAGAGTCGCTGCTGTTGCTGCTGCTGCGAAGTAGCTGTTGCTACTGCGGAGTCGCTGCTGTTGCTGCTGCTGCGAAGTAGCTGTTGCTACTGCGGAGTCGCTGCTGTTGCTGCTGCTGCTGGGGAGTCGCTGCTGCTGCTGCTGCTGCGGAGTCGCTGCTGCTGCTGGCGGTTCGCTGCTGCTGCTGCGGAGTTGCTGCTGCTGCTGCGGAGTCATTGCTGCTGCGGAGTCGCTGCTGCTGGACAGTCGTTGCTGTTGCTGCTGCTGCGAAGTAGCTGTAGCTACTGCGGAGTCGCTGCTGTTGCTGCTGCTGCTGGGGAGTCACTGCTGCTGCTGCGGAGTCGCTGCTGCTGCTGCTGCTGTGGAGTAGCTGCTGCTGCTGGTGATTCGCTGCTGCTGCTGTGGAGTCACTGCTGCTGCTGCTGCTGTGGAGTAGCTGCTGCTGCTGGTGATTCGCTGTTGCTACTGCGGAATCGCTGCTGTTGCTTCTGCTGCTTCTGCTGGGAAGTCGCTGCTGCTGCTGCGGAATCGCTGCTCCTGCTGCGGAGTCTCTGCTGCTGCTGCGGAGTCGCTGCTGCTGCTGGGGAGTCGTTTCTGCCGCTGCTGCTGGGGAGTCGCGGCTGCTGCGGAGTCGCTGCTGCTGGTGCGGAGTCGCTGCTGCTGCTGGGGAATCGCTGCTGCGGAATCGCTGCTGCTGCTGCTGCTGCGACGTTGTCGGGGTGGGGGGGGTTGAGGCCCTCGTCTGTTCTGTTGCTGGAAGGCTGCTGCAGCTGCTGCTGGGCCGCCACGGCTGCTGCTGCTCCTGCGCCTTCGCGCTTGCTGCTGCTGATTTGCCATTCCTGCTGCTGCTGCTGCTGCTGCTTGGCTGCAGGTCAGGGTGTGTGCGGCATCGTCGCCTTCATAGTTAACTTGGTGGCCTCGCGCTACCTCTTCGACTTGGCCACTTATCAAGGAGCCGTGCACATGTTCTGGTGAGCACAGCTAGCTGCTTGGCTAGCTGCACAGCTAGCTGCATAGCTAGCTGCATAGCTAGCTGCGCAGCTAGCTGCAAAGCCAGCAGTGGGCGCGTCCCGCCGGCGGCCACAGCTAGCCAACCCGTAGCTAGCCGCTGGCTAGTAGCTAGCCGCTGTGTAGTCAGGCAGCAAGTGTCTAGCTGGCTAGCTAGCTCGTTAGCAGGCAAGCTGCGTGGGGAGCTAGCTGGCTGCAGCATGAGACGCAGCAGCAGAGGCCGTTTTGCCCTGTTTTGTTTTTCCTGCGTTATCCGTGGAGCTGCTGCTGCTGTTTTTGCTGCAGGTTGGTATTTGGGGCAAGTGCAGCGGTGTCTCTGGTGTCAGCTGTGCTGCTGCTGGTGTCACTGCAGCAGCCGTGGGCTCGCGGAGGGCTGCAGCGTTACTGGGTAGCGAAGCGCGCGCGCGCAGCAGCAGCAGCAGCAGCAGCTGCAGCAGCAGCAGCAGAGGAAGAGCAGGAGGGCTCCCGGACGCGTTGTGGCGTGTGGTCGCTGTCGTGCGCGTGCTCTGCAACAGCAGCAGCTGCTCCGCAGCCGCAGCAGCAGCAAAGCGCGTGGCAGCGTTTCCTGCGGCGGTGGAGAGGAACCCACGCAGCAGCAGCAGAAGCAGCAGCAGCAGTGAGAGCAGCAGGAGACGCGCGGACGCAGGAGCTGGTGGTGATCCGCAAGGGCGCGGGGAGCAGCAGCTGCAGCCTGACGAGCCCGCGCAGCAGGAGCAGCAGCTTCTGGCGGCTGCAGCCGGAAGGCGCCGAGACGGAAGGCGCCCCCGCAGCAGCAGCAGCAGCAGCAGCGGGGGAGATCGACGAGAGCACGCTGCCCTCGCGCGGCTGGCGACACATTGCTGCTGCCAGCTGGCCGTATTTGTTCAGTGTGTTCTTCACGCTGGCTGTGAGCATGCACTTGTACCCGCGGGTGGGGCCAATTGGCTGGAGCAGCAGCAGCAAAAGTGCAGCAAATGAACAATATATAATACTATTTGGAGTGTTTTGCATGGGGGACTTCGTGGGAAAGGCGCTGCCGGACCTGTCGAGGCACCCGAAGCTTCGCTGGCTGCGGCTCTCCCGCCGCGCGCTGCTGCTGCTGGTGCTGCTGCGGCCGCTGCTCGGAATCTTCTTTGTTCTCGGCACCGTCTTCGTGGAACATCCCTTTTTTAATTCTTTTGCTCTTTACTTTTTCCTAATTGCTGCTCTCGCGGTCACCAACGGCTGCTGCGCCACCACTGCCATTGCAGGCGCCTGTGCTGCTGTCCCAAGATTCGAGGAAAAGGAAATCGTCGGGCCTGCTGCAGTGCTGCTGCTGCTCCTGGGCATTGCCTGTGGGGTCTACTCTGCCTACATCTACTGAGCAGCAGCAGCAGCAACAGCAGCGGCGGTGGCGGCACCCTTGCTGCTGCAGCAAGCGGCAGTGGCAGCAATTGCATAGCCAGCAACTAGAACAGCGCTGCAGCAACTGGTGCCCAATGGATGTGGCTCCCATTACAGCAGCAGCAGCAGCTGCTGCAACGGGAGCAGCAGGTGGCTCTTTGGTTCCGTTTTGACGCCTTCAGGAGCGCTGAGTGCCAAAGGCAAAGAGAGAAAAGGGAAGACAGAAGACAGAGAATAAGAGAGACTAAGTAAAGGAATGGACAGAAAGACCAAGAGACGAACAGACGCGCTGTTGCAGCCGCAGCAACAGCAACGGCAGCATTATTTGTGCTGCTTTTGCAGCCTCGGCGGGGGCTGCATGTACATCATTAACTCGAAAAACGTTGAGCAGCAGGGGCAGCAGCAACTGCAGCAGCTGCTGCTGCCGCCCAGTGCTGCAGCGAAAGTCCTTCGCAGTGCAGCAGCGGCAACAGCAGTAGCGAGCTCGCCGTCTCCCTGCAGTCACTAGGGGCCGTTGCTTTTTTTGGCGGAGTGCATGCGCCGTAATATTGCATGCTGATCACTATATGTACGTACATTTCATCTGTTGCTGCAGCAGCAGCGACAGCAGCAGCAGCAGCAGCCATAGCTTTGACAGACGCCAAGTTGTACAGCTAGACGAATAGTACGGCGCCGTGCGGGTCCTGCGCCGGGCCCAAGGCGCTCCAGCACCCTAGCAAGCTAGCTGGCTCAAACGAATAGCTAGCTGGCTAGCTAGCTAGCCAGCTAGCTAGCTAGCTGGCTAGCTACTGGCCGGCAAGCTGCCGGCCAGCCAAGCCCATCGTTAGTATTCCTCGGCCCGTTTCTGCAGCTAGCTGGAACTAGCCACCGAAGCAGTGGTGGCTGGCGAGCTAGCCGCTCAGCTAGACCCCAGCTAGCTAGCTGGCTGGCCCGTCCGCCCCCTAGCCGGCTAGCTAGCTAGCTAGCTAGCCATTAATTTGCCCATAGTTCCCGCGGTGGTTTTCCAGCACATGCTGGGAATGCCTTCGGCGCAACAAACAGGAAACCACCGAAGTTAAGAACAGCCAGGACGGGGTAGCCACACAGAGAGAAAAGAACCAAACTAGAGCTGGCGGCTGCTGCTGCAGCAGCAGCCGCAGTAGCAACAGCAGCGGCAGCGATAGTTAAGCACCAGCAGCAGCGGCTACAGTTGCAGCAGCAGCAGCAGCAAACTCTAGACGGACGAAATTATCGAGTTGTGTTAAAGAAGCCGAACTGAAAGTCAGGCCCCATTGCGAATGCAGCGGGGCGGCAGAGGCGCACTGGGCCTGCCGTGACTGCTGCTGCTGTGGCTGCTGCTGCTGCTGCTGCTGCTTGTAGCAGCAGCAGGCTACGAGACGGGTCTACAGTTGCTAGCCCGGGGAAAACACATATAACTCAATAGAGCCGGAGGCTTCCCGCCACCCTCGAAGAGGCCTAGCGGGGCTTCGCGGGCCCCCCAGCGCTTCGCCGGCCGCTAGGGGCAACTACAGGCCCGCAGGGGGCCCCCAGGGGCCCCCAGGGGCCCCCAGGAGTCCCCTAGGGGGGGTCCGGAGAACCCGCGAGGGGCCCCTGTCAGCCCCTGCGGCTTCGGAAGGCGTGTCAAAGACTCCCTGAGGGTCTAGCGCGGCCCCGGGGCTGCCCAGCCTCCTGTGGGGCCCCCCGGAGGCCCCTCGGGCTTCTGTGTATACCCCCGGGGCCCCTCGGGCTCCAGTGGGGCCCCTTAGGGGCCCCGCCAGCGAACTCCAGGGGCCCCCCGGGGGCCCCCAGGTGAGGCCAAGGGCAACAGGCTCTGGGGAAGAGAGTCCTTGTGTCGGCTTCTTCCGAAGGAACTTGCGCTGCACAAAGCTGCTGGGGCTGTCTCTTACTCCTCTCTTTGTTCTGTGTAGGCGGGGGCCCCCAGGCCCCTTTTCTGGGGGCCCCAGAAGCCTTGTGCTGGGGCCCCCTTGAACTTTAGAAAGAACTAAACTAGGAGAGCCTCAAACCCTGACAAACAGGATATATATTTGTTCGTTTGTGTCCCGAAGAAAACGCCCAAGGCCTCTTTAGGCCCGCTTTGTCTCTTGGCCAGCCACGGGCTTCTCGGGGGCCCCCTGGGGCCCCCCCAGCGTGCCTTTGGGTGCCCCCGGGGCCCCGCCAGTAAGCGCATCGAAAGTAAGGCGCAACAGAAGTCAAGCGCTGCTGGGGGGCCCCTCCAGGCCCCCCGGGGCCCCCTCCGGGGGCCCCCTGGGGTCCCCTGGGGTCCCCCGGGGGCCCCCTGGGGGCCCCCGAAGGGGCCCCCAGTGAACTCTGCCCTCCTTTGGGGCTTTGCATGCGGCCCAAGCTGAGTCAACCCAGGAAAGAGTCCGGGGAACTCGAAGGCGAGGGAATGTGAGTTTCCGCCTGAGAGGAACACGAAGAAGCTGCGGGGCTGGGGGCTGGGCTTTTGGGTTTGCTGGACTTTGGCCTGCTTCTGCATTGTCTGCAGCGGCTCTTGAACGGGGCCCCTGTGCGCCGGCGCGGTGGCCGCTGCTGCTGCTGCTGCTGCTGCTGCGGCTGCGGCTGCTGTGGCTGCGATTCCTGCGGTAGCAGCTGCTGCTGCGCCTGCGCCCCTGGCCCCAGAAGCACAGGCCGCAGCTCCAGGTGCGCCGGGCCGCCCGATAGGGCACCTTGGCCTGCTGCTGCTGCTGCTGCTGCGGCTGCTGCTGCTGCCTCTCTCTCCACACTCAGTATGAAGGAGTCCAACAAATCAACTTGTCGATTCCATAAGTGAATGCAGTAGGAACCCTCAGCAGGAGAGCCATCTGCCTGTGAGCTCAACTCGAAAAGTTCGGCAGAGGGTTCCCCGAGGTGTCTGTACACCTGAGGCTGGTCGGGAAAGCTAGCGCACATGAGCGGCAGAAATAAACTAATTCTGGTGTTTGCAATTGCTGCAGTAAGTCCAGCTGCTGCTGCAGATCCTCCTGCTGCAGCGGCTTTGGCCGGGCGGCGGGATAAAAGCTCTGCTGCTGCTCGTGCTGGTGTCTTTGTTACCTTGAGCCTGCTTACGGGCTAGCATATGTCTGCTACCAAAGACAAAAAGAATAAAACTTTACAAGTGAAGGCTGCTGCTGCTGCTGCTGCTGCCTGACCGCCGGTCTGCCTCCCCACTCGGGCAGCAAAGACAGCCGATGAAGCGACAAGCCGAGGGGGAAAACGAGGTACTGAAGGCCACTGTTACTGTACGGAAAAGACAGAAAATAAAAAGAAGTCTATACAATTATATTCTTATTGCTTAGCTAATAGTTTTGTGAAATGCTGCGGCAGAAAAAAGCAGGAGAGCAGATCAGCGCGCGCCGATCGATCACGGAAGAGCCGCAGCAGCAGCGACTTTCGCTGCTGTTGCTGCCCATTGTTGCTGCTGCTGCTGCTGCTGCCCTGAGCTTCGGTTTAGCCCAAGCAACTCCGCAGGCCTTACTTTCTGTATTTATTAATTTTGCAACAGAAAGGAAGAGACAAAAGCAAACATAGAAACTGGCGTAGGGGGCGTCCCGTCCGTCGGCAGCTCGGCGGTTCACCCATCCCTGTTGCCGTGTCTGTCGCTTTCCATCTCTGGCGGGTCCAACTTTATTCAAACTTTTGCATTAAATACAATTTAACAGACGGTTTTTGTGAATTTATTCCGGAATACTAATATCCAGTCCCAGACATGTTGCCCCTATGCTGGCCAGACTGCATCGATACCAGTGGTGCTCCAGCGGCTTCGGGTTCTGGTGGACATCTTGATTTGGCAATTTACAAGTTTGAGTAATTAACGAGTCATTAATGATCCCGTTCATTTCTTTTCTTTTAATGTTTTCACAGTATTGAATCTCCTCGAAGCTTTTACTGCTCAGTGTCACCTCAGGCATGCAGGAGCTACAGACCCCCCCCGAAACGACATCTGCACCAGCAAACAACATTAGCCTCCAAACATTGTTTGTACATTCTTCATTTCCTCTTTATAGAGTCATTAAGGCTCAATTAAGGTCTGAAGACTGCTGCTGTTTGCGGCAGTGGCCAGCCAAGCTGCCGGTCTTCGTGTCAACTGCTGTAACGCACAAGCAGCCTTATTAAGTAAAGACTAAAACTGTGCTGCACTCCACCCGTGCAGCTTCGAATCCCACTACTGTCGCTTTTAGGCAGTTGAGATAACACATGGCAAAGTGGGGGCCATTTGGTGGCGAGAAAGTCCACTAGCACTAGTTTAAGAATTTGCATAGACACAGCCAGAGACCCAGCGAGCTAGTTAGCAGCTTGGTGCCTAGCTAGCTAGCTAGCTAGCTAGCTATAGAGCTAGCCAGGTAGCTAGAAAGGCAGCTACTCACTCACCTAGTTAGCCACCTGAAACAGCAACTGTGTCAGTAGGATGCAGTTTGCAATTTCCGCAATTTCGACAATCATTAAGCGTGGATTTTTGAATGTTTCGTTCTTTAATAACGGCGCTCTTTCTAAGGGAGGCTCCCCTAGCTCTAGTTATGCATTTGGGCTGGAGGTGTGGCGCATTTTGCTGGCAGAGTTGTCGCATTATTTGCAGCTTTTTGGCTTTCATGTCTTTCGCTTGAAAGCCCGCATAGTGCAGAATAGTGCAGGAAGCTTTAAGAATGTGATTCCCTTGATGAAACTGTGTGAAGTGCTGCTTGGGTTGGCGCAGAAGTGGGACAGTATCGCTGACTATTATATATTATAATATATATATATATATATGTATATTTATATGTTTGTCTTCAGCGCGAACTGGCAATAATTAGGCGAGACGCGCTACATGTTTAAAAGTCAGTTTTCCCTTCACCGAAGCTCCTAAGATCAACAATGCTAGTGAAGGTAGCACCGAAAACATACTAGTCATGCGTTTTCGATTTATATTCTCGCAAGTGTGTTGTGGGGAAAATCGTAAGTTCTATGCAATAGCAAAGTCCCCTAAACTTGACCAATTCTGAAAATAAAATATTATGCACACTTCTACTGGCATGAGCAAATGAATCCGTGCATTGCACTGCAACCAACTTGCTGAAGAAAGAAGCTATCAAGTGGAAGTTAGGGCATCAGCAACAACCACAATGACAAACAAGCGAAACAGTACCTTCCAGAATTTAGTTGCTCTTTTGCTATTTTGCTATTTTGTAAAGTGCATCCTAGCGGCATAGAAGAGGCAGTGCCCGAGACTGGCACACAACTCACATTAAGAGAAACATTTCAAAAAGCAGAAGCGATTGAGAACGCCAGGAGAGCCAAGGAAAGCCAAGAAAAGCCAGCAGATACTCGCAGGGGTCGCGAGATGCGTTGAAAAGGGGTGGACACTGTAATACTGGCCAATACAAAGGGGCATATGACGGGCGTTTCAGCCAAAACTATTGATATAAATACGCACTAGAGCAGTTCACGAGTCTACTGAGTGCAAGAACTGGGTTTTTGAAAGTGCCAACTCACCGGGCTGCGAAACAACGAACCCGCCAGCCTCTGTGCACAGGCCGCAGTAACGCACACTAAAAGGGGCGAAATTCTCCGCTTTCCAGTATAATGTGTTGAATTCAGCAAAACACACTCCGTGGTTGTTCTGGTACAACAGCATTCAGCGCCTAGACAGACTTGGTATTCTTTCACGTACCAACGAAGCGCCCAGGAGCATTCAGCAATACTATGGCCCCCGAAATTCGCAGCATGCAGAAGTTTAGTATTGTGAAAGATAAACAAAATCTTACTGCAAGATGTGTAACAGAGAATAGCTACAAGGTGGATTCCGCGGCCCGCGCTTCTTGGGGCCCAAGTCGAACTTGCTTACTGTTCACGTTTTCCGCGAAGAGTGCCTAAAGCCCCAACAATCAAAGTTTCAGTTTGAATATATGCTTTCAGCAGATAAAGTCACCTATTTACTGGGGAATAATAAGAGTTCTGTCGAACTGAAGCCGCAGCACACGCATTTCTCTTTTGAAAGGGGCGCTCATGCGCGGTATGTGCTGAAAAACTAATTGGCACCAAATGCTGCGACAAGTGGCTCCTTTCTTGTAAAGAAAACATTAATATCTTTATTGGCGAGTACTAGAGCTGAATGATTCTTCAATACATGCTGCGTAGTCCTAGTGACTATACCTGTTCAGCACTTCGTGACAATAGCTCCTGAGAGGCCGCTGCTAACGAAGTATAAGATATATCTTAGAAAAGGCTTGTTAACTTTTGTTAACTTTCTATTACTCTCTCGCGAGCTTTTATCCATCATTTCATAATGCTGTATTCGCTTGGCAGGGAGGATGGCATGCCAGCAAGAAATTGAGCAAACGTCTCACCATAACGTAGACAAGTTTTTTCGAAAATACTTGGTCTTTTGGCAGTTAATTTCTGCTGAGATAATAACTAATTCGTCTATAAACTCAATAACAGCTGGTAGAATCGATGAAGCTGGTTATGTCTACGCGGTGGCAGCAGAGCGCTTCGCTACTGCGCATCGCTCTCAACCTTGCACACTTCCATCTACAAAAGGGCAATCGAGGTGGCTATTACATAATTGCATAATTACATATACTCGGGAATTCTAAGGTCCTTTAGTGATAAAGAAGTAGTATTTTTCGTACTCCGACTCCACCTGGAAGTGGCACAGTCCCATCCGGCCCCGATGAACCATCGAAGAGCATGCACGTATTGCTCCAGTAACAAGAAAGTAGAAAGGTGTATAAAGCTGCCTGCTGCTTTTTAGTTCTCGTTTCTTTCCTACTTTGACTGCGGAGAATAATGCATATCCCATCTAATTAATTCCATGGATGAAATGAATGCATGCAAAGCACAACTCCACAAAGACCATTAACCACGCATTTTATCTGCTTTCGAGCGTATTCTAATACAACACTACAAGAATGAATCACGGGATTACTTGAATTATTTGTCTATGAACTGAGACGCACTGGAGCCAGCTCAAAACAAACTCTACGCCTCATACAGCACGCAATTTAGCTCGAAAAAATTGGTAAAAGTCACCAACTTTGCACAGTATTTTTAAGTGTAGGATGCGTCTAACTGCACACGGAACTGCAGAACAAGCTGGGCACTCGACAAAGAGTCATTTCATGCCAGTGTTTCAGTTGCCTTTCATGTCTCAGCAACCTTATTTTCTCCATACTTGTACTTGCTTGTATTTGCAATAAGTGGCACTCGGAATCCCGAGCACTGGCACGGAGCGAAAGCAAGTTGTTGCATGCGCGTGCTTTTGAGCGCTTCAGATAGACAAATATTGAGAAAATAAAATAAAAAATGTCTAAGAAAGCCCCAAACCGGGGCCAGATCACGAACACACGAAGACGAAGCCACTTGCACTTTGGGGCTGGACACAGTAGCATAAATGAGGCAAAGACCGATGCCGCTGTAAGGATTCAAGCAAATGATGCCTGGAATCAAAAACCAATTGCATTAAAAAGAAAAAATTGTGTCGAGAGTACCAAGAAATGGCATTATGGTCTGGAATGACGTGAACCACAAAGTTGGCTTGCCTCGCTTGGTGAGAGCCCAGCATAGGGGCGGTCATTAATGCAACTGAGCCCTCAAGGCTATAGGAGTGGTGCTCAGCCTTTTTAATTTTTTTAAAATTCATTACCAATTTTGTAAAATGCGAAATGAAGGTGCAATGAGCACTCAGAAAGCATAGCACTACAATCTAGGAGGCATAGTAGGCACCCGGCAGAGCAAATTGCACGGAAATTCGTGTCCAAGCAGCGTATCGCAGATAAATGTTCAGAGATTTAACAACTATTAAAATTTTAAAGGAAACATGTTCATAATCTGGGGATTCGGGAGGGTTGGCGGCCCTTGGCACAAGTGCCTCTTGGCCGGGACCAGACGACCCCCCAGGTCAGCAAAGAGGTAACCAATGGACTCCAGCGTGTACAGACACACCCGCATGCTCATTATTTTGTTCAATTATTTAATAAAAGATAAAAGAGGGCTTTTTTGTGTTTCGTGGTCCATTAGGATGAGCTGCATGCAGCAAAAGACATGCAAATGCAGTCTAAATATACCTCCGCCCATAGTTCTGCGGGAGTGAAAAAGATGGACAATCATTGGAGTGCAGATTGCACTATGAATCAGATCCTGAACATGAAAGGTAGAAATATGAAAGACCAAAATGGAAATGGAAATGTCAAGAACAAGGCTTGGCTTCTACATTCTTATCAGCTACTAGTTTTCCTAAAAACACTTCCAACACTGTGCAAACATGTACAAACATTTTCTAAGGCCAATAAGTAGCTTTGGAAGTCTCAGACCCCTAAAAAGACTCAAAAAGTTGGGATGTGCCGCACCCCGAAACGCAACATGCAGAGCTCTGTCAGATGGCTGAAAGCTTAACTTGACTGCAGAGGCCGCAGGGCCTATTCAACTTTATAAATCTCTCATTTGTGTACTCTGCATGCGGGTCGAAGTGCAAATGTGTTGCATGCAATTAACAGTGCCTCTCAAGGCCATTTCACTTTCTCACTGCAGTTCGCAGTGCAGCTCTTAGCGGCCGCCGAATCGCCGCAACAAAACCGCGATCTTTTTGAGTACTGAATTATACAAATTGAAATAAGAAGAAAAACAATTTCAAAACTCCCACTTGAGCTCTGTGGGGCTTCTGCAAGAGTAGCTCCAGCCCCTTACATGCATCCATCAGGTGGCTTTTGGCCGCAGTAGCAAGCGGCAAAGTGGGATTGGATCTTACTGGATCTTCTTTCTTTTGAGCATTAAATTTCCTTTTATTCGTCAAATTATTTCAAATGAAAGTTAATTTTAGATTAGAAGGCAGAGAAGAAAGCGCAAAAAGAAAACGGCGCACCGTCAACAGAGAACAAGAGGATTCAAATGCTATTCTTTCTTTTCTTTCCAGTGATCTGAGTCGAACTTGAAGTATTCCAAGTGCTTTCCACCGACTGTAAATTGCAAGTTTCCTAAAATATCAATTTTAGTGAACAAGACAGAAGTTGTTTCGAGTTTTCGTGCTTTTGCGAAAGTGTACAGGAGGTGACTCCCGAATGAAGGAAATAAAGGCAAGAAAAGCTTTCTTCAAATTCGAAAAGGGCAATTTTTTGCTCTACTTCTGGAAACCACTGTTTATATGTGGCGACAGAATTCGAAAAGGTGTATTCGAAATTATATTTCTTGAAACAAAAACATTCCGTAGGAAATGTGTTCCGAGTTCTGTTTGCTCATGCTGTAGTTTTAGCTCATGAGTTTGAAAATACAAGTCCGGGAGCAGAACCATTTCATAAATATTTTATTTCCAAGTCCCGCCTGCCTGTCTTACAATGTCAGTGCATAAAACTTAGAAATACATTTCTTAAAATTAAAGGCATACCATAAATATTATATTCCCAAATTCCGTTTCTCTCTGCTATAATGATAGTGCGTGAACTTGGAAATCTATTTCTTGAAAATAATAACACTTGTAGTGTGTGCACATTTTTTGTCCCCAAATTCCGTTTGCTATAATGTTAGTGCATGAAATTGAAAATGCAATTCTTAAAAATAAAGGCGTTTTGCCTTTTGCATCTGTTGTGACCTTATTCCATGAACTTGCACATAAAATTCTTAAAATAAAATCACTTCATAAATATTATATTTCCAAATTCTGTGTTGCCACTGTCGATATTATTGCACGAACTTGAAAATATATTTTTCATAAAAAGCATTTCATAAACATTATTTTCTTAATTTCCGTTTGCTTCCCTTACAATGCTGGTGCACAAACTTGGAAACAAAATTCTTAGAAATAAAAACATCTAATAAATTTCGAATTTCCAAATTGCTTTTGCTTCTTATAATAGTATTGCAAAAAGCTGAAAACAAAACCCCTAAATTAAAACAGCCCCGCATTATTATTTGAATAATTTACCTAACGGAAAAGTTTGCAGCTAAGGGCTAGTGACACAGAAAAAAGACGAATTTTTTTAACTTTTTCATTTTATAAATTCCAAACTTTCCAGAAATAAGAAACACATCTTTCTTTGAAGGTTTCTATTATTCAAAAAGAAGAATCTTCTCTTAAAAGCACCTTATTTTTCACCAAAACATTAAAAAATCCAAAAATGGCTTCAAAACGCATCAAAGCCCCGAACTTGGCAAAGCCCTCAGCCAGACATCCAATTAGGAATTATATTTTAATTAAATGTCGTAACAAAACTTTCAAATTTGAATCATGTTTTAATTAAATTTTCTAACCAAATCCAATCATGAATCATATTCTAATTAAATGTTTTAACCAAATCTTTAAATAGGAATTACACCTTAATAAAATCTTCAAAAGTCTTTTATTTGCTACTTCTGTCTCGCCCAGGCCTTCAACATAAATCACTTTTGCATTTCATTTAATTAAATTCTTTTTTGCTTTAAATGGCAGAACTTCGCTTTGGCCCAGGGGGCCCCCCAAGGCCAAGTTTGTGGGGCCCCGGGGCCTTCAGGGGGGCCCCCAGCCCCCCTCAAGGCCATTTCTTTGGCCTTAATTTATTTATTTATTTATCAGATATTTACTTGGCCATAATGCGAACACCCACAGAACTCCAAGACGCCCCAAAAGCCTCTAAGGGGGCCCCATGGGCCCCAAAAGCTGCTGCCGCAAAAAAGTACCCGCAATAATGGCTCTGAAGGGGCCCCCTGGGGCCCCCAGGGGCCCCCTGGGGCCCCCTGGGGCCCCGGCGGCCTCGGGGGCCTCGGGGGCCCCGGGGGCCCCTGTCTGACTTTGGGCCCCTGTGGGGCACAGGGGGGCCCTGGAGGCCTCCAGAACACTCGAGGGGGCCCCAAACCCTCGAAGTTCTTGCAAACAGCCAGACCCTAAACCCTAAACCCTAAATCCTAGGCAGGGATTCCAAACACCAGACTCTCCGCTGCTGGAGGAGATAAGCAAACACGCCTCTGCTGCTGCAGTGCACACAGGAAATGCAAACATAAAGCGGGGACCTCATCAGGGTTTAGGGTTTAGGGTTTAGGGTTTAGGGCCTAGGTTTTCGATGCTTCTAAGTGGGACATTCGCACACACTAAACTGCAGCGTGGAGTGTACAGACAGAAGGAAGTGAGAAGGCAGCTCAGCAGCTCGCGACGCCAGTGGACCACTGGACAGGGTATGGTGCTGCTGCTGCTGCTGCTGTTGCTGCTGCTGGTGCTGTTGCTGCTGCAGCTGTTGGCTGTGCGCAGCTTTGTGTGTTTGCTTCCACTTGTCTTGAAGTTTAAAATTAAAGTAAATAAAATATTAATGAGACAGGCTAGGAATAAGCCTGCAGCTCGTTGGGGCCCTGCTGTTGCCCACGGCGCTGGTGCCACTGCTGCTGCAGCAGCAGCTGCTGCTCCTGCTGCTGCTGCTGCTGCTGCTGAAGCAGACGACCTTCAGCAACACAGCGACGAAACAACTCATATATGCTGGCACACAAGTAAAAAAGAAATGAAATGCTTTTGATTTTGGATTAGGGTTTAGGCTCAAGGGTTTTCACTGCATATCTGAGGTGTATGTACACCTCAACACCCACTACCAAGCTCAGCGTCTGCAGCTCCGCTCGAACATTTGCGCGAACTCCCAGACCTCACTTCTCTACTTCTTATCCCCAAACCCTAAACCCTAAACCCTAAACCCTAAACCCTAAACCCTAGACGCTTGACTGGCTGAATCTCAGGCTGCGTTTGCCCGCGCGACGCGTGGGCGTCCTTCTCTGCATGTGTCTTTATCTTTTAAAGGCTAAACCCTTGACGCTAGGGCCAAAACCCTAAACCCTAAACCCTAAACCCTAAACCCTAAACCCTAATCCGTCAACCCCGGACCCAAACTCTACAATGCTAAGCCTACTGGGGGGCCTCTTGAGAGGCCGGTCGCAGCAGCAGAGGAAAGACAAAAGCGCTAATAGCTCAGACCCCTTCGCAGACTCCAAAGGTAAGACCCTAAACCCTAAACCCTAAACCCTAAACCCTAGTCCGTGAACGGGAAGGCTGCAGGCTGGACTTCGGAGAGCACAGCAAAGGCCGTGTGCACTGCCTGCAAACTGCGTTGAAACGCTCACTCTCTCCTAAACCCTAAACCTAAACCCCAAACCCCAAACCCTAAACCCTAAACCCCGAACCCTAAACCCTAAACCCTAGTGCTGCTGTGAGTTGCCGCAGTTGACGTGTATCTGGTGCGGGGGGAAAAGAGCAGCGAGCTGCTGCTGGATTGTTCTTTAATGATTTCTTCGGAGACTTGTGTTTTTATTGGAGACCCTCCGGACGATGGTTTGGGAGCAGCAGCAGAACTCAGCTTCTTGAAGAAGTGCAGCAGCAGCAGCAGCAGCAGCAGCAGCAAAGTCAGCAGCAGCAGCAGCAGCAAATTCGCCATCGAGTTGCCTCACTCCGCCGTCTCCAGCTTCAGGCAGCATAAGCCCGACATGGTACAGTTTGCGGTTAAGACAGAATCAGGTAACTAATGTAAATATAAATATAAATAATAAATAAATACTTAATTAAGATATTAAACATAATCAGTAAATAAATGCTAAATAATGGCCAATTTAAAAATATAAATGGCAGTTAAAGCTGCTGCAGCAGCAGCCGCTGCTGCAGCAGCAGCCGGAAATTACGAAAACTCAGCGGGGTGTATGTACAGCGGCGCGGGCCCTGAGGTGTACATACACCTGACGCAGTTTGTAGCCTCTAAAGATGCCTCCACTAATGCAACATGAATTCATTTCTGTCGATTTTGTAAATCTGGATTTATATGTTTATTTAGTTGTCCTTAATGGCTTTATTTTGCTGCAAACTTTTGTCTTGCTGCAGCTGCTTTTTTTGAGGTGAATGTACACTGCAGAGTTCTTTGAATTTTTCGGGTGTACGTACACCTCAGCTCACGGTGTCTCTACACCTCACCGCATAAGCTGTGCAGGTCTTTTTAATTCAAATTCCACTTTATTTATTTCTTTATTTGCGGCTCTGCCCTTTGCATGCGTTCTGGGATTGCAGTGTATATACACCTGGATTTGAGGTCACCACGTGCATGTTTTCGTTTTTATTTTTAAATTCGATAGAAACGCAATATACTTATTTTAAAAGTTTTGTAAAATTTGAGAAGATGTTGTATTTCTTTCTTTTTACCATGTGCATTTGCATGTATAGTGGGCGTTAGCTGCAACTACTACAGCAGCAGCAACAGCAACAGCTGCTGCTTGGATGCTGCAGCAGCTGCAGCTGCAGCGTCTGCTGCAGCAGCGACAGCCGTTGCTGGCTTGTTTGCTGCAGCGCGTAAGATGGTTTCTGTTTTTTGTGCTGCAGATGCAACAGTAGAACTGGGCCTGGTGTTTGCGACGGAAGCTGCTGCTGCGCTCTTCAGCCAGCTAATGGTGTCTTCCATTTGCTGCTGCTTTGCTGCAGCAGCAGCAAGCCGCTGCTGCCTGCAGCAGTTCGACCGCCTCGCAAATGAGTGGCTTTTGGTGGAGTCCGAGGCGGAGGCCTTCATTAAGGAAAAGGGGGACTGTTCAGAGGCCTACCTGCTGGTTTACAAGGCCAGCAGCAGTAGCAGCAGCAGCAGCAGCAGCAGCAGCAGCGGCAGCAGCAAGGGGGGAGCTGCGGGGAAAGAAGGCAGCAGCAGCGGCAAGGGGAAGGCAGCAGCAGCAGCGGCGAGCAGCAGCAGCACTTTGCCTGCTGCTGCAGCTGACCCGGTCGCCACAGCAGTTGCTGCTGCAGTTGACGCTGCAGAGAACGAAGACGCCGCTGCTGCCTCTGGCGAAGCAGCAGCAGCAGCAGCAGCAGCAGACAACATTCCTGTCCCCCTTTGCTATGTTGCCATTTCCTACGACGAATTTATTGTGCCGCTGCCGCAGCAGCAGGAGCTGCAGTGGTGGGGGCCTTCGCCTGAAGGGGATAAGCGGCTATATAAGATTAGTTTTGCTGCTAGTGCAGCAGCAGCAGCAGCAGCGCCGGCAGCAGCAGCAGCAGCGCCGGCAACAGCAGCAGCAGCAGCAGGAGCGAGCGAGTCCAGCGCTCCGCCGCCCACGGTCAAACAGCGAAAGCAGCAGGAACAGCAGCAGAAGCAGCAGCAGCAGCAACAGCAGCAGCAGCAGCAGCAGCAGCAGGGCCGCAAGTTCCTTGACACTTATGCTCTAGTGCTTGCGGAAGTCAGCAGCAAATGTCGCTTCTCCCCCGAGGAAGATTTGGAGAAGCAAATTGGGTACTATGGGGAATTCAATACTGCTCCCAGCTGTAAACCTTAAACCCTAAACCCTAAACCCTAGACCTTAAACCTTAAACCCTAAACCCTAGTTCTAGAGGCAGAGGGGCGACCAGCTGAGGGCAGCGCGAAGGCCTCCAACAAGCCCACTGATTCTGCTACGAAGCCTTTCTGACCGCTTAGGGTTTAGGGTTTAGGGTTTAGGGTTTAGGGTTTAGGGTTTAGGGTTTGCGGCGCAGACGGGGAGGTTGAGGGCATGCAGATTGAAGACGCAGAAAGCGACCCGTCAGATGATGAGGAGCAATTCCCCATTGTTGCGAGAGACCCAACAAGGTAAACCCTAAACCGTAAACCCTAAACCCTAAACCCTAAGCCCTAAGGGAGCCTGCAACCGTGAACCAATACCGTAAACCCTAAACCCTAGTGCAGCTGCTGGCTTCACAGGCAGGGCAGCGGGCTTCAGATAAAAGGGTTTAGGGTTTAGGGCTTAGGGTTTAGGGCACACTGCTTTGAATGGCAGCTCCGGGACGCAGGGCTCAGCGCTCTGAGGTTTCAGGGTTTAAGCGGGGGTTTAGGGTTCGAGCCAGAGCTTAGGGTTTAGGGCAAGGCTTAGGGTTTAGGGTTTAGGGTTTGGCGCAGGGACTTGCTGAAAACGGCCCCCGACTTCATGGCCAACGAAATGCTGGAAGCTGGGCAGCAGCGGGCGGTGGTTTTTAGGGTTGGGGCTGAGGGCCAAACCCTCAAGACAAAAAGGGACATGCAAGTCCTCAGGTCCGCAAACCCTAAACCCTAAACCCTAAACCCTAGGGGCAGCAGCGCGAGGCGCGGCGCGAGCTGCAGGCTCTTGGGGCAAGCGTCAAGTTTTGAGTTGCTGCTCGCCACGTCCTAGGTCATTTGAGCCCTAAACCCTAAACCCTAAACCCTAAACCCTAAACCCTAAACCCTAGCGGCAAGGTTTGCGCGGGATGATGCACAGGTTCGACGAGTATGGCAAACCATCTGTCGTGGCGACGATCGATGGATCCAAAGTATGTTGCTGCTTCTGTTGCTGCTGCTGCTATTGCTGCTGCTGCACGTGCTGCTGCTTTTGCTGCAGCAGCTGCAGGGTGTGGTGCTGTTGCTGCACTTGCTGCCAGCAGCATCGCTCCCTGCTGCCTTGCAGCAGCCGCAGCAGCAGCAGCAGCAGCAGCAGAGGGAGCGGCAGCAGCATCAGTAGAGACGGCAGCACCAAGAGAAGCAGCAGCAGCATCAGCACCAACAGCACAGAGAGAGCAGCAGCAGCAGGGACAGCGGCAGCAACTGCATCAACAGCAGCAGCAGCAGCAGAAGCAGCAGCAGCAACGGCACATTTGCTGCTGCAGTTTGTTTTGCTGCTGCTGCTCTCAGCTAAACTTGCAGGGCCAAGACCAGGGGCTGTCTTCGGCGCTGCTGCAGGACTGCGTAAGCTGCTGCTTAAAACATTTAATTAATTAGTTATTATTTATTTTTTATCTATTTAATTTTTATTATTTAATTATTTGTTATTTATTTAAGTTTTGTTCTATTTGCTGCTGTTTGCCTTTACTTGCTGCTGCCTTGGGCTCGCCCGCCGTCTCTCCCGGGCCCCCCCTGACTGTCCGCTAGCTGGCTAGCTAGCTGGCTAGCTAGCTGGCTAGCTGGCTAGCTAGCAGGCTAGCTGGCTAGCTGGCTAGCTAGCAGGCAAGCTGGCTGGCTGGCTAGCCAGCTGGCTAGTTGGGTTGCTGGGTAGCTAGCTGTGTAGTTGGCTTGCTAGCTAGCTGGATAGCTAGCTGGATAGCTAGCTGGCTGGCTAGCTGGCTAGCTAGCCGGCATGGTACACAGATAGCTAGCTGGCTGGCTAGCTGGCTAGCTAGCTGGCTGGCTAGCTGGCTAGCTAGCTAGCTGGCTGATTGGTTAGCCAGTGAACTAACTTGCTGTTTAGTTGGTTAGCTAGCTAGCTGGTGGCTAGCTGCCAGCTAGCTAGCTGGCTAGCTGCGCAACTCGCTGGCTAGCTAGCTGTAGATTTGGCTGGTGCTGCAGCTGCTGCTGCTGCTGCATCGGGCATTCGGTTCTACTTCAAATGGCCAATTGAATAGTTAATTGAATCAATTAAATTAGGCTGACTGGATTAATTAAATTAGATTAATTAAGTAAATTGATTAAATTGAATTTAATTAATTTAATTGAATTGATGTTTTTGCTTTTGCTGCTGCAGGAAAGAAGGCTGGTGCTGCTGCCCGCCGAGGACTCCAAAGCTCCTCCGTTTCTCTTTAATTTGGAAACAGAACAAGTCTTGCAAACCCTCAACGTAGACATGAAGGTCAAACACTAAACCCTAAACCCTAAACCCTAAACCTCAAACCCTAGCCGTAGAGAGTGCACTTCCTGTGCGCGCGGAGGATTTAGGGCCTAGGGTTTAGGGTTTAGGGTTTAGGGTTTAGGGTTTGGGCGCAGGTGAAGGGGATTTTGCCGCTAAAGGCGGATTCGAGACAAACCCTAGAGTCGAGGGTTTTGGCATTTAATGACAAGAGGTTCTGCTGTATAGACACCAGAACTAAAGAAGCTGAAATTCGCCACCATTACACCTACTCCCAGAACCAGGGCTTTTCCTGCGGCGGTAAACCCTAAACCCTAAACCCTAAACCCTGAGTTCTGGCAAACCCTAGCGAGCCCGAGCAAACCCTAGCAAGCAGGAACGGAGTCTGGGGTCTTTTCTGTTGCACTGAACCCTCGTAAACCCTAGCGGTCTCTGCTAACCCTCGTAAACCCTAGCAAACCCTCGTAAACCCTAGCAAACCCTCGTATACCCTAGCAACCCCTCCTAAACCCTAGGAGCCCGCGCACGGGAGCGCGGAGCGTAGGGTTTAGGGTTTAGGGTTTTTGCCGAAGCCAGAGGGCGCGTGGGGCGCAGCAGCGCGCGTTGGGAGCCCCCAGGAGGGCCTAGGGTTTAGGGTCTAGGGTTTAGGGTTTAGGGTTTGCTGCAGCGACGGACGAGGAGGGCCACTTGCTGCTGGGGAGCAGCAAAGGGGTTTTGAGACTCTATGATGGAAAGACAGATAATGAGGGGGTTTACAAAAGAGCTAAAACACAAATTAGCGGTTTAGGAGACCCCATACTCCACGTGGCAGTCACCCGCGACGGCAGCTGGATTCTCGGTAAACCCTAAACCCTAAACCCTAAACCCTAAAGGGGTGGGTTAGGGTGGCGTGGGAGGGAGGGGCAGCGGGTGCTGCTCGCGGGCTGGCGAGGCGCAGCGGGTGCTGCGACTCTTCTCACCCCTAAACCCTAAACCCTAAACCCTAGACCCTAAGCGCTAAACCCTGGAAATGAGGGAGGGATTCTCGGGTGGGAGGGCTGCAGCAAAAGTTCGCAGGCTGCTGCTGCAGTGCTCCCCCCAAACCCTAAACCCTAAACCCCAAACCCCTAACCCCAAACCCTAAACCCTAAACCCCAAACCCTAAACCCTAAACGCTGCGTGTGCTGCAGCGACCTGCGCGCGGTATTTGCTGCTGTACCCCGTGCGTCCGGAGGGCAGAAGCAAAACAGGGTTTAGCTTTCCGCTGGGGGAGTTAAAACCTAAACCCTTGCTGCTGCAGCTGCTGCTGCAGGATGTCAGCAAGTTTAACCTCCAGTGCTGCTGCTTCAGAGCAGCAGCTTTTGATGCAGCAGAGCAGCACATCGTCACCAGCACCAACAACCTCGTCATCATCTGGGACTTCGTGTCCGCAAACCCTAAACCCTAAACCCTAAGCCCTAAACCCTAGGTCCTTGTTTTGAACGAGTTGAGCGGTAGCCGTGTCTGCGAAAGCCCCAAACCCCGATTTAGGGTTTGGGGGCAGCGAAGCCGAACCCTGGGGGCTCCAGGCCCCGTGAGGGAACCCGCGGCTGCAAAGAGGGTTAAGGGTTTAGGGTTTAGGGTTTAGGGTTTGGTTGCAGGGCCGTGAAAAACGGCAAAACTGATGCCTATCAAATCCGGCGAATTAGCGACTACATAAAGGACTTGGCGTTCTTGAAGGCCGGCGAGAGGGAGGCGGTTCTCATGGTCAGCGAGGGTTTAGGGTTTAGGGTTTAGGGTTTGGGGTTTCCAGGGTTTAGCGTTTAGGGCTTGGGGTTGGGGTAGGAAAGACATCCCTAGGGTTTGAGGGCGGCCGCTCGGCGCGCTTCGCGCTCTGGGGCAGAGCAGAGGGTCCATAGGCCGTCGAGGGTTTAGGGTTTAGGGTTTAGGGTTTGGGGTGTTTGCATAGGTAACGCCGTCGTCGATTACAACTCGCGGAGTGCGCAGGACATACCAAGACTGCAAGAGTGAGTCGGAGCCATAACTGGCAGCAGCAGCAGCAGCTGCTGCTGCTGCAGCAGCAGCTGCTGCTCCTGCAGCGGCAGCACGAGCTAATGCAGCAACTCTTGCTGCTGCAGCAGCAAGAGCTGCTGCGGTGGCAGGAACGAGTGCTCCATTTTATTTGCTGCTTCTCGGTTGGCTTTTGCTGTATGTAACAGCTGCAGCAGCAACTGCAGCAGCAGCTGCAGCAGCTGCAGGAGCAGCTGCTGCTGCTAGCTTGTTGAGTTTCTGTTGGGGTACTTGCGGTGTACGTACACCCCAGCACGCGCAGCAAAGCGCTGCAGATCTTGTCTTGCAGGGCAACAGTTCCTGAACTCTAAACCCTAAACCCTAAACCCTAATCGTAAACCCTAGTTGATAAACCCCAGACTGTGTAGGCCTTTTAGCGGCGGGGTGCCATGTCAGGTGTACACTTCAGCAGACGCAGGCTGCTGAAGGGTTTGGAGCGAGGGTTTAGGGTTTCGAGATTACGGGGAGGGTTTAGGGTTTGGGGAATATGTGGAGGGTTTGGAGAACATGGGGAGGGTTTAGAGTTTGGAGAGTAGGGGGAGGGTTTGGGGTTTGGACAACAGGGAGAGGGTTTAGGGTTTAGCTCCTTGCTAGGGTTTAGGGTTTGCGAAGGACGCTAGGGTTCCGGAGTTAAGAGGAAGTGACAAAGGATTTGGGGTTTAGGGTTTAGGGTTTCAAAGAGAGGCTGCAGTTGCCACACAAGCAACCCCCGCAAGAACAGCAGCAAGAGGAGCGGCCACCGCTGGGTCTACCCATTCAAAGTGCTGCTGCTGCAGCTGCCGCTGCGGCTGCTGCTGCCGCTGCTGCTGCTGCTGCTGGTGTTGCTGGTGCTGCTGCTGCTGGTGTTGCTGCTGCTGCTGCTGCTGCTGGTGTTGCTGCTGCTGCTGCTGCTGCATGGGCGCATTGAGCGCAGGAAAGAATCTAAGGGCCTCGGAGTGCCACAGGTGCAGCGGTTCAGCAGCAGCAGCAGCAGCTGCTGCAGCAGCTGCTGCTGCTGCGCTGGAGTCTGCCGCAGCAGCAGCAGCAGCAGCAGGATAGGCGAAGTTGTAGGCGACGGGTTTGCGTCTGTTGGAGAAGAAGACCTCCAGGGGCAGCTGCGTAAGGGGAGTCGGCGATCCCGGGATCGGCTCCTCCTCGACCCCACACCTCGACATGAGAAAGTTGGGGTCCAAGCTGTCGAGCAGCGCGGCGACGGAGGGCAGCAGCCGTCCCACGCCCATGCTGCTGCCGCCGCCGCCGCCGCTGCTGCTGCTGCTGCTGCTGCTGCTGCTGCGCGCAGCAGCAGCAGCAGCGGCGGCGTGGCTGTTGGCGTGGCGGTTGAGGAAGTTGACCACTGAGTGGGTCCAGCGGTCCACCAAAGAAGTGCCCATTGAAGAGTCGGAAAAATAAGAATAACTGCTTTCTCCTTTTAGGGAAGAAGAGAGTCTGAGGACGTGGGGTGTACGTACACCCGAGAGCAGCGTGGCGGCCTGGCAGGTCTCGGCGATCAGCAGCAGCCGCCGGAAGCGCCGCTGCTGCTGCATGCGCTGCACTGCAGCAGCCAGCTGCTGCTGCTGCAGCGTCTGCCAGTCGCTGAACTTGAGAAACTCGTTGCCCCCGTGCCCCGTCAGAAACACCACCACGTTGCTGCTGCTGCTGCTGCGCAGCCGCTGCTGCTGCTGCGTCTCGGGTGTATGTACACCCAGCAGCACCCGCAGCAGCGCGTCCGCATTCGCTGCTTCCCCGCTGTAGTCCACCTCCGCGCCTTCCCACCCCTCCCCAAACAGCGCGCACTCCTCCTGCTGCTGCTGCTGCTCCTGCTGCTGCTGCTGCTGCTGCTGCTGCTGCTGCCGGTGCAGGGCGGCGGCGCAGGCGTCGTGGCCGCCGAAGAGGTTCTGGGCGCGGCTGCGGTGTCTGTACACCCCGGCGGGGAAGGCGCTGCGGGGCGAGCAGGGCCCGTCCTGCCCTGCAAGCATCAGAATTATATTTTTGTCTTTTATTCCTTGCTGCTTCAGACTTCTGTAAAAGGCCAGCGCGTTCGCCATGTGCCGGTAGTTCAGCCACTGCCGCGAGCTCGAAGCCACCACGGCGTGCGTGTCCGCGGGGTCTCCCAGCGCCACGAACTCCCGCAGCAGCTGCTGCTGCTGCTGCTGTGCAGCAGCAGCAGCAGCAGCAGCAGCGGAGGCTGCAGCGGCAGCTGCAGCAGCGGCAGCCGGCAAGTGGACGCCTTCGGAGGCGCCTGAGGGCCTGCGCTCCTGAGGCGGGGCCTGCTGCTCCTGCTGCTGCTGCTGCTGCTGGGAGGGCGGGGAGGGAGGCTGCCGCTGCTGCTGCTGCTGCTGCTGCTGCTGGTCTTCGGGGCCCCCGCCCGTGGAACTGGAGACGTCCGCAGGGCAGGGGAGGGCCAGCAGAGATAGCAGGAAGGGCAGCAGCAGCAGCAGCAGCAGCAGCAGTTGCTGTTGCTGCTGCGGCATTGCTGCAGCTCAACGCCGGAAGAGGACAGACCCAACGCCAGGTGTACGTACACCCGAAAAAAACCCAGCACCTAATGACAAAAACAAAAAACAAAAAGACAAAACAGAAAAGAACTCAAAAATCTTATTCTGAACTCGCTGCTGCTGCTGCTGCAGCAGCAGCAGCAGTAGCAGCTCGCAGCAGTCAGGGCCCCCCAGCACTGCTGCCGACTCTCTGCCGCTGCTGCTGCTGCTGCTGCTGCTGGGGGCGGAAGCAAATGATATTATTGTAAAAATAATATAAGTGGCTTTTATTAATTAAATTAAAAGGACAAGAAGAAGGTGTGGGGCCCCCAGCGGTTTCTTTCTTGTCTTTCGGCGCTGCGGCCATGTGTGTATAGCGAGTGGTCAGTTTGGTGTGTTCTCGTCGATTAATTTCGCCATTTAATCCATTATTAAATTAAATTTATCATTTAATTTGAAATTAGGTTTATTTATTTTTTAATTGTGAACACAAATGAGCCAAAACAACCCCGGAGAGCAGCAACAAGAGCTGCGCATACACCCGAAGCTCACAACTGGCGGAACCGTCGCTGCTGCTCTTTTCTGTCTTCTTCATTTTATTTCATCTTTTTATTTTTAATTATGTTCATTTATTAATTTCTTTTATTTATTTGCCCTCTGTGGCTTCGCCAACAGCCCCAAGAGGCCCTCTACCTCCCTAAACCCTAAACCCTGCGCTGCTAGGGTTTAGGGTTTAGGGTTTAGACCTCTTCCGCGAAGTCAGGGGGGGCTGCGTTTGGAGAGCCAAAGGCCTATAGAACCTGCTGCTGCTGCTGGCCAGGGAGCCACTCCAGCCCCTAGCTAGCTGCAGCTAACCAGCAGCAGCTAGCTAGCAGCCAGAAGCAGCTAGCTAGCTGCGAACAATCCAGGTACTTCTCCATTGCAGTGCTTTTCTTGCTGCTGCTGTTACTGCTGCTGCCGTCACCTCTACTGCCGCTGTTGTTCCCGATACTGCTGCTGCCGTTGCTGCTGCTGCTTTTACGGATAGTCCTGCTGCTGCTGCTACCACTGATACTGCTGCTGCTGTTGCTGACACTGCTGCTGCTGTTGCTGACACTGCTGCTGCTGCTGCCAACACTGCTGCTGCTGTCGCTAACACTGATGCTGTTACTGCTGCTGCTGCTGTTGCTAACACTGCTACTGCTGCTGCTGCTGCTGCTGCACAAACATTGAAGAGAAGTGAGTTAGGGCGAGCGAGCTGGGGTGTACGTACACTCCACGCAGCCAAAGCATATAGACGAACAAAGGCCTGCCTTGCCCGCGCCAAATAATCTAATTGACATAATTTAATTAATTTAATTTAATTTAATTTAAATTAAATCAATTTAAATTAGTTTAATTAAATTTAATTATCCTTTTAAATGTTTTAATCTTCGCGAGGAATTGCGAACGCCAGGCAGGCACGCGGCTGCTGAGGTGTACAGACAGCGCAGCCGCGTAATGATCCAACGAGCTCCCTCGGGCACACCTGCTGCTGCTGCTGCTGCTGTTGCAGCTGCTGCTGCCGCTTCTGTTGCTGTTGCTGCTCAAGCAGCAACCCCATCAGCGAGACGGCCCCGCTGTTGTTTCTGCTGTTGCTGCTGCAGCAGGTGCAGCAGCAGCTGCTGCAGGGCCGCACAGCTGCAGCAGCAGCCGCTGCAGCAGCAGCCGCTGCAGCAGCAGCTGCTGCTGCTGCTGTGGGGCCCCGCGGCCCCTCGCAAGGGCCCCACAAGAGCAGCAGGAAATAACAAAAGAGAAAATTGAATTCAATGGAAGCAGCACCAGGGCGCAGCCAGCTGTACGTACAGCTCAGCACACAGCCAGCCGGGCCAAACCCATTTATCTTTTCATTTTTATTTTTCTTTTTTTCTTTTCTTTCTTCAGGCCCTCCAACCGCCCCACACCTTTGGGGCCCCCGGGGGCCCCCCTGTTCCCCTGGGGGGCCCCCAGGCCTCCCAGGGTCCCACACTATACCACGCTTGGGGGCCCCCCTGGGGGCCCCCTAGGGGCCCCTCTGGACCCCTTTAGGGGGCCTCTGCGCGTCCTTCTGGGGCATATAGGGGCCCCTAGGCCCCCCCCAGGGGCCTCCTGATCCCTGATGGGGGCCCCCCATGGGCCTTGGGCCCTCCTAGGGGCCTTTGGGGCCCCCGTGGGGCCTCTGCGGGGCGCTTTTGGGGCCCCCTGGGGTCCCTTTGGGGCCCCTTTGGGGTCCTGTTGGGTCCGTTTTTGGGGCCCAAAGAAGCCCTTCTGGCCTGTCCACGGGCCTTTGCTGCCGTGGGGCCCCACAAGCCATGTGGGGCCCCGCAAGACGCGTGTGGGGCGTTTGGCTTGTGGGGCCCCACAAGCCAAACGCCCCACAGTGGGCCCCAGGGGGGCCCCTCT